AACGGGTGCCTGACATCACATGAGCAGCACTCGCGCTGTATGGACATTTGCGCGAGGCGTTCCGTGGCGGGGGATGTACCGTAAGTGCTCTTCTGTCGCGTTCTCATCGCCATCAATGTTGGGGACGCGTCCTCAGTGCGCTGGCAGGCTCGATATAGGTAACATTGGATCTTCGTGCGATGTGGGCGGCTGCGATGGTCATTGCCATCACAGTCGGCCTCAAAACGGTGTAGGGAAGCCGAAGACAAAACAAAACGTCGAGTAGTGCGTCGCAGACCCACAACCTCTAGGCTGTGGTGAGACAAAAAGACGTAAGAACATGGGGACATCTGGCCAACAAAGAGCCATGATGTCCCATCGAAGTTGGCCTTCCTCAGGTTCCGCACACGTCCTCAAAGTTAATATTACCATCTGACCTGCCCGTGTTTAGCTATAAATGGGAGTTAAAGACCAATAGAACTTGTCCAAACAATTTTTGATCCTGCCAGGGAGGGGCTTGCTACAACTTCGTTTGACAGTCCATTCCAGTGGTTTGCTACTCTTTGGCCAATGATATCTGCCTCTTCATAGTTCTCCTCCTCTCTCGTGCTCAATGAAACTGGTTTCCTCTAAGTCTCCGCCTAATTTCCGGTGCTCCATGTAGATCTACCTCGTCGATCCCTCTCGTAATCTTGAATACCCCTATCAGATCCCCTCGAAGTCTATGCTAGTTCAGTGAATGCAATCCCAAACCTCTAAGCAAGGCATCCCAGGCCAAGCCATTCCCGATGCTGAAGGGAACGCCGTCTTACCAGTGGAACACGAGACAGTATTATCATCACCCTATGGACATGAACCGAGGTTGGAATTATTCCTCGGACGGTAGGTCGTCTGAGTCAGCCGAAGTTCCAACAAGGATGTCCGCGATGAAAGTCCGCGGACTCCGCGCTGTTGCCAGGATCGTGGATTTCACAGGAACTGCACGGCATCACTTGGGTGCATTGCCGGGCAGATTACGTGGCGAATGGGAGGATCGCGTCGGTGGACGTATAAAAATGATAGTGGTCGGCGGAGCGGATCTGGCCGGTGCATTCCCGGACAACGTGGGTGCAGGGCTGGAAGCGGACCTGTCCGGGGCGGGCTGCGTGACGCTGCGACGGGGTGATAACTGTGCTGTCACTCCGCGTCACCCGCCGTAGCGGTGAACGGGCGACTGCCGGCATGAGTGGAGCGGTGGGCGCCTGTTGACTGCGTTGCTCCCGGGGTTCCTCTGGCCGGCGCGTTCTGTCCGGCCGCCGCGTGCTGTCGTCCGCGACAGCTGGGTCTCGAGCGGTCGTCACGGGGTCACACGGGGCCTGCGTGAAGACCCCGTGGTTGGCGCGCCGCCTCCTCGCCGCCGCTGTCTGAGCCCGGCTCTGGGCCGCCGGGCGCGTGACGCGGCTGCGGTTGGGCCGCCGCCACTGCCACCTGACGACGATGATTGTAACGCGCCGTGGCGAGCCCGGAACGGCACCCGGGGAGGCCGGATGACCGCTGACCAGAGCTGGGGCGGGTACCGCGGGGAGGCCGGCTGACCGCTGACCAGAGCTGGGCGGCGCCGCCGGCGGTACCGCAGGGAGGTCGGCTGACCGCTGACCAGAGCTGGGCGGCACCGCGGGGAGGCCGGCTGACCGCTGACCAGAGCTGGGGGGCGCCGCGGCGGTACCGCAGGGAGGCGGCTGACCGCTGACCAGGCTGGGAACCAGGGGGGGCGGCGCCGCCGTCGGTAACCGCAAGGGAGGATCGCTGAACCGCTGACCAGAGCCTGGACGGCAAACCGCGGGGAGGCCGGCTGACCGCTGGACCAGAGCTGGGGTGGCCGGCGCCGGCGGTACAGGCGGGGAGGTCGGCTGACCGCTGACCAGAGCTGGACGGCGCCGCCGACGGCACCGCGTGGAGGCCGGCTGACCGCTGACCAGAGCTGGGCGGCGGCGCCGCTGCTTCTGGACCTTCGTCGGCCGCCGCCGGCGAAGGCGTAGCGAGATGGCCCCGCGGTGATCGCCCGCCGCCGCCGCCGCCGCCGCCGCCGCCGCCGCCGCCGCCGCCGCGAGGCGTCTCCGCTGTTGGTCAGTGTCCCGCTATCGGCGGCCAGTGGGAGCGAGTTCGAGCAGCGGCGACGCCGCCACAGCCCGCAGAGCGCCACCGGCTGCGGTCAAGCGAGCACGCCTGCTGAAGGCGAGCGACACGCCTGCTGAGGGCGAGCTGGACCGGCGCCCGCTGTGGCTGGCGAGCAGAGCTGGAGCGGTGTGCCCTGTCCTGCCCTGCCCTGCCCTGCCCTGACCGTCTGTGTGTCTGGGACCCGATGCGGCCCGCGCTGCTCGGCTGGCAGCCGGCCCGTCCCGGCCCGGCCCGGCCCGACCCGGGCCGTTCGACAGCCGGCCGGCCGCCGCCGCCCCTGAATCAGTCATGGATATTTCCTGTTGTGAGGCGCGCGCGCCTGTTGGCCGGCCGCCCGTCGCCGCCGTTGGCGCCGCTGCTGACGCCACCTCCACATTGGTGCTCTGCCGGGTCTGATGACTTCAGCCGTCCCAGTCAAAGGCTTGGGAGCTCAAGTCCCCGATTGATGGGCCCGTAATTCCTGTTGTCCCTGACCCATTATGCGCGGCGATGCACACGTGATGTGTTTGCAGCGCGTTAGACCGGTGTGTGGCGGTGTGAACGCGCCTGCAGCGGTCTTTTATGGCCTGCTGTCTGGGGCGTGCACCGAGCTGGAATGCATGCTCCGCGAGCTAACAGTTCCACGTGTGCATTTGCCGTGCGTCCTCCTATTAAAGCCAGAGTCTGCGAAATGGCTGATTAATTACCGTGGTTGTTCCGTGTCACGACAGGGTTAGGTGGAGGTGGCGGGGAGGGGAGGACAGAATTACACCAACATCCGTGTAGTGGCATGACGGTTCGCCGTTCTCACCATCGCTTCCCTTCTGCCGGCAGTAATTTGTTTTGCTTCTGGATTATGGCTAGAGATCACACCTGCTCGCACGCTTTGAACTGCGACGCTGTCAGACCCGGACTGGCTTTCGCAGCCTGGTGGTGATGACCTGGACTGACGGCGGGTGCCCGGTGTTGGCGACCCGGGCTGACGGCGGGACCCGGTGGTGATGCCCCGGGCTGACGGCGGGACCCGGTGGTGATGACCCGGGCTGACGCGGGAACCCTGTGGAGATGACCCGGGCTGACGGCGGGCCCCCTGCGGAGATGACCCGGGCTGACGCGGGAGCCCTGTGGAGATGACCCGGGCTGACGCGGGGGCCCCGTGGAGATGACGCGGGCTGACGCGAGAGCCCTGTGTGAGGTGACCCGGGATGACGCGAGAGCCCTGTGGAGATGACCCGGGCTGACGCGGGAGCCCTGTGGAGATGACCCGGCTGACGCGGGAGCCCTGTGGAGATGACCCGGACTGACGCGGGAGCCTTGTTGAGATGACCCGGGCTGACGGCGGGAGCCCTGTGGAGATGACCCGAGCTGACGCGGGAGCCCTGTGGAGATGACCCGGGCTGACGCGGGAGCCCTGTGGAGATCTTTGCCAGGGCGGCGGTCGGCCGGCCGGCTGTCCCGCGCCAGACTCGCGCCTATGTCGGACGACTGGGGCGCCGTAGACGCCCCTGCGTGTGCGTGTGGGACGTGCGCGCGCCCCGCGGCCGGTCGGCCCCCGAGGTCGGCAGCGGAGAGTCCGCCGCATGGGTGAAGCCTGGGGCCTGTCTCGCTGTCCCCACCGCATTAACCGCTCTGGACCTCCGCGGCCCGGCTTCGGCAGCCGACGCTCTCCAGCGTCACTGAATGACTGTCGCTTTGCTGAGTCATAGGCGGTGTTCGTGTGCTTTTGATGGGGAGTACCCGTTCCGCCCTCGGCGACTGCCGTCGACAATGGAGGCTTCCTTTTTTATTTTGCTGAGATGCCCAACGCGTCCGGAGCTCTCTGGTTACATCGAGGCACGGCTTGCAGCACGACGACCATTGCTGCAGTAGGGATGGTGTGCGTATTTCTGGCGACTGACCGTCGTCATCCGAGCGGACGTGACTGCCGCTAGGCTCGGGACCGACAGTGATGCGGGGGCTCCGAGTCTGGCGGAGAGTCGGCGAACTGCTGCTAGGTGTGGACCCAGCAGCAGTTCGGCAATCATGCTGGGGCTCTGAGTCTGGCGAAGAGTCGACGAACTACTGGTGTGTTCAAGCCCGGCAGTCATGCTGGGGCTCCGAGTCTGGCAAAGAATCGACGAACTGCTGCTGGGTCCAGGCCCGGCAGTCATGCTGGGGCTCCGAGTCTGGCGAAGAGTCGGCGAGCTGCTGCTGGTGTGTTCGAGCCCGGCAGTCATGCTGGGGCTCCGGGTCTGGCAAAGAATCGATGAACTGCTGCTGGGTCCGGGCCCGGCAGTCATGCTGGTGCTCCGAGTCTGGCGAAGAGTCGCCGAACTGCTGCTTGGTCCAGGCCCGGCAGTCGTGCTAGGGCTCCGAGCCTAGTGAAGAGTCAGCTGTCCCTGGGTAGCGGTGGTGGCGCTAGTCCGCCTGGCGGCAGACACGCGAAGTGAAGTAAAGCACACCAGTAAAGCCGACGCGTCCTGAAACACTTCTTCGTAGTTAGTGCGTCCGTTCCAAAATGCTGCAAGCAAACTCGTCTGTCCCCGAGTCAAGTATCTTCGATCGCGGCTGGGTTTTTTTTTTCGCGGACGCGTGTAGTTCACGGTAGAAGTATGGCGACCTTTGCCAGATGTTCGTTTAGGTGGAACGTGGTCGGAAGTCAACAGCAGACGAGCCCATGCGTGGGCGGGGTTGGACCTCTGAATCAGCTGAAAGCTGGCGCGAATGACGTTATCTCCTTCATCTTGTTTTTGCCCCCTCCGCAAAGGCTAAGGCTCATGTCATAGGACTTCGCTCTTAATGACTGGCATCAAAGAGATCAGTGCCAAGTGCACCTTTAACCCTAACTGCGTAAACAGCCGTATGATCTACCTGACCAAAATTTCAGGTGATTGGGCCGGCTAGAAATGTTACAGGTAACACGGATTGGGCTGTCTCGCGAATTACCTTGTCCCAGCGAACACTCGCCGACCGGCGGTATCCGATGAACCCGGAGACGCCTCGTGCCCAGCCTCGTGCAATAGGTGGCCATGTCGAACGGTGGCATGCCTGTCTGATGCCTGAAAGCGTTTTTTGAAGACTGCAGTATCGCGCTCGCTTCTACGGCATTTAACCACGGCGTAACCGGTCCCATCAATGGGCTTGGGTTCTGCCGATCGCTGCACAGACACAATTGTGGGGTGTGACGCCTGCCAGTGTTGTCGAAAACCGTGCATCCGGCGGCGTGAAGACTTGTTGGTCGGTTCGCACATGTGGCAGAGGCTGCGCACCGCGTGGGGGACCCCCGTACCACCGCAGTCCGGACCCCGGCGGGAGCTCGCGCTGCTCCGCTGACGCTGCCCTGACCGCGTTGCAGTTACGCCAACAGCAGGAGCTGCAGCAGCAGTTTCTGGTGCAGCAGTTCCAGGCGCAGCAGCAGCAGCTGACGGAGCAGCATGAGAAGCAGCTGCAGCAACACATCAAGGTACGGTCACACACGCACACATTGTCTGAGTCCGTTTGACAAGTGTTGCGTGTTTAGGTGGCCGTCAGTGGTCCGCGTGTTGGTCCAGCAGCAGTGCCCGTCGCTGTGTGGAGTCCTGCCGTGTGTCGGACCGTCCGAGTGCTGTCTCTCTTTGCTGTGCCTCTGGACGGACATGCGCTGGTCTGTGTCAGCCGTGCTCCTAGTTGCGTGCGTGTAGTTGAAGCTTTCCGCGTTGCCACCTCCTAAACAGGGCATGTTTCCGTGCGAGAGAGCCGCGAAGTCCGACACGGTGTTGCTGTGCTGTAAAATTACTATCACCGTGCCTCATCATCCTCAGCATCCGTTCAGGTTTCGGTGGAACTGTGTGGGTTAAGTCCCGAGTCCCGTTAAGTGCTGTCCCGAGTGCAACAATGCAGTTTTGAGCTCGGTCGAGGTGGCGATGACCCCCCAGTCGTGGTCATTATATTAACTATATGTTGAGAAGTTGCCTTCTAAGTTTCTCATTTCACATGTAATCAGTGTGCTCTTTCTTTTTTTGCGTTCAGCATTGCCTCGGCTCCAAACCTTTGTGTTTTGAGTTTGTGAGATTGCTGTACCAATTTTAACCGGATGGCAGCAAAGCGGTTATGTTTCATCTCAGAATAGATACTCAAAATTTCCAACGACAAAAACGCTGAGGGCTCCTGTCAAAACATTCCACTTGAAGGTCACCTACCATAACTGCCAAGTTTGCAGCGGCAGGCGGGCGGGAGCTCAAAGCAGTTCACCGCCACGCTTCAAAATGACTTTGGCAGACTCCATCCTTGGTGTTGTGGTCACTGAATTATCAATGACAAGATATTCTAGGTTGGAAAAATTGCCCGGGTGTCTTGCCATGTCACGACTTGAAGTCACGTTGTCATCAGGCGCAAGTGTAACAGAAGCGACCTGTGGAAAAAGCCCTTCCTGTCAGGGTGAGGGGCGGGCGATGCCGTGTAGCCCCAGCAGCTGTGTACGTCGTAAAGCCCCAAAAACGACGTCAGCTGCGTGTGGAACTGAATAAATAGGTCATTGCGAGTTGAACAGTGCGCGATTTTCTTATGCTTCGATTACCTTTGTTCAAGGAAGGGGCCGGCAAGGACCCTTATCGGGTGTAAAATATTTCGAAATGTGCGAGGCTTGAACTCATCGGTCGTTACTTTGATCGAACTGAAAATGGTCCCGCTAGGTTCGGAGCGTGAGGCAATGGTGTACTTACGTTGGCATAGAAATCGGAGAGATTAATGTTGATGTGGCATTTAACTCATCGATGTGCAAAGAATCTTGCCAAAAATAAATCACGATCAGGTTTTGAAATCCTCAGTGGTGATTAAACGCCACACGTGTACTTGTTTTTTTTTAGCGAAGCTTCATTGCGAGTCTTTAGCGCTGGAAAGCGCCTCTTTGCTGTTCTCTCATATATGCTTAGGCCGTGCAGTCTGTGAATACGGATCAAGCGGTCAAAGCATGACATACTAAGTAATCTGAAGAATGGCAATGTTGCATTAGCTTAACACGATCGTTCAAGCAATTTTCTTCTATTGTCATCGAATTATATTGTACCATTCCCATCGTTGCCGTTCTGGATATAGGCCAGTAAAGGCAACCACCTAGCGTAACCCTCCATGTACGTCCAAGGCTACGGCTCGGTTGCCGCGGCTCTGGTACTACCAAAAATTACAGTGCTAGATTCAGAGCACCAGATAACCCCATGGGCGCTGCATGGCCTTCAGCAGTCGATGCGCCCTAAAACCCCAAATCATCATCATCACCAGATAACCCCAACAGCACATTCTCACTTAATTCTAACGCGGGAGTGCTAGACCTCATCCCTCTGTCCTGGCATGATCTTAGATTTCCTGGTATCGCCGACTCGCGGGTCATTCATGCAAAATTTCTCCGTACGTGTCCTTTACGAGGGAAAATACGGCCGCCGACGTGTTTGCGAAAGGTGCTGGGCTGCGGCCGCCCGGACTTCAGTCCATGTTCTGCACGGCGGCCCGCGGCGGGCCAGGGCTTATTGGATCCCGAGCGCAGTGGCCTGTGGTGATCAAGGTCTCATTCAACTGCTGGGTTGATTGAGCCGTGAATGGTTGCAGCTAAGCGAATCGGCGGCTGGGCGGACTGTGATGGGCGGTGGAGAGCCGCGATGCTCCAGCGCTGAGCTGGTGCGGGCCTGATTGCACCGCGCCGTCGGCAAGCTAATCCCGTAAAGTTTCTGCACCGAGCATGGATGCATTGCTCCATTGCCGCGTATTGGAAACGGCCCTCGCCAGCCGGCGTCGGCTGGTGAGGGCCGAACATCGTTGGTGGGCCCGCCGGTCACGCGGACTCCTGCCCGGGTCTGCCGGTCACGCGGGGCGGTGGTCGTGGCCGGCCGGCTCAATGGCGCCGGCTCATCGGACTACCGACTGATGTGTTGACGCTGCCCGCTGATCAGACGCGCGTGCTGCGGCGGCGGCGGGCCCGCTGCCTGCAGACCAGCGCGGGGGGGCCGGCAGCCGCCTGGCCCAGCCAGCCGGCTAGGGAGCCAGCCCCACCTCACTGGCCGGCCGACTAGAGAGCCAGGCCCCAGTGACCGGCCAGCTGGCTGAGGAGCCAGGTCCTCCTCGCTGGCCGGCTGAGGAGCCAGGTCCTCCTCACTGGCCGGCTAGGGAGCCAGGTCCGCCTCACTGGCCGGCTGGGGAGCCAAGTCCGCCTCACCGGCCGGCTGGGGAGCCAGGTCCGCCTCGCCGGCTTGAAGTGCTCGCCTGGCGTGATCCCGTCTCACAACCGTACGCCTGACTCTCGCCATTTGGCGGCGCCGGCGTCCGGCGGCTCGCCTCCATCAGACGCTGGCGCTCGGAGCGTCCATCGCAGCGAGCGGTGTTGAGCCGGCGCCCCCGCAGCCAGGGTTGACCGCGATTGACTCAAACCGCGATGTTGGAGACGGAAGGTGCGTCAGGCTTCGGGCTCTTGTCAGGCGGATAGGCGCCGGGCTCGTGGTTGTTTGAGTTGTAAACTCAGCGCTTCGGTGCCGACTCTGTCCGATCTTCAGGTCAGGGGCATCAGCGCCAATGCCGCCGGCGGCGAATGCACCGGTCCGGTACGCCGCCCATGGGCGGCCGGCGGGAGGCCGCGCCGCCCACACCATGCAACCACGCAAAAGCCAGCACACAATACTTTTGGGGGAGAGCTCAGACAGCTTGGCCCTGAAAAAACGCTGCCGCTGCAGTAAGAGCGAACCGTGGCGGGTAGTTATCGCGAGGTGACTTTCCGTGGTGGCTTCGCATAACTGCGCCAGCGCAATAACAATGTGTCATGTTTATATGCCGTTGAGCATGTGCTACTCATTACGGTTGATAGTCGTATAGTGCGACGCTGCACAAGTCTTCTAGCTTTGACATTCAAAAGAGTGCAAGGGGGCGTTTGAATGCTTACCTAACGCGTCCACTGAAATAGTTATCATGCGCATGCGATAAACTGGGAATCGCGGGCACTTTCTGTTCAGGGGTCTGGCTGTGTTGTGCTTGGTGGGACTGCCATGGCGAGTATAGGTAGTCACATCACGCTATTGGCCGCTGCTCTGTGTTTTGGGGCGCGCTGCTGCTTCTGCTGCTCTGTTCAGGCTGTTCCCATGTCCCCTCCTTGGCTTTGTTGCCCTTCCCACGTGCGATTTCCATCAGTGCCGCGCCCTGGTCCCGTCTGGAGTGAGCCATGTCTCTGTCCCGCTGCCGCCGCTGCCGCCGCCGCTGCCGCCGCCGTCCTGCGCCGGGCGCCGGCCGGCCGCGCCAGCCGGCGGCGGGGCAGTGGTGGCTCTAGCGGCGTATGTGTGTTCTCCAGCATGTTTGGTGGCAGCAGGTGCAGCTTCAGCAGCATCTGCTGGTCGCCCAGCACCAGGAGCGCTCCGACCACCAGGACCCCGACTCGCCCATGCATGACAAGGTCGGTCGCCGCCGCCGCCGCCGCTGCGAGCACCTCCCCGCTCCTCGCCTCGCCTTCCCTCCTGCCACTGCATGTGACGCGCCTGGCCGCCCCCACCGCTTCAGGGCCGGGCTGGCCTGCCACCAGCCGTGGTCAGCCCCGGCTGGCGGCCCGCTGACACTGCCGTGCCCCCCGCTCCCGGCTGGGTGTGTCGCGCACGCCGGGGCGCGCTGCGGCACCTCCTGGTGCGCGCCTCTCCACAAGCCGTCCGGGTCCTCGCTGAGGGCCTGCCGCCTCAGAGGCGGACCTGGCGCCGCACGGGGGCGCGTGCGGTGCGCATGTGGGGTGCGGTAGACACCTCCCTTCGCAATGACCCAGGCATGGATCTCAGTACTAAGCAGGCACGACTCCTGACCCGTTGGCTTCACTGAGGCAACTTTGTCTGCGAAGTGACGTTTTTGTGTGTATGAAGCCGCATGCGCATGTCTGTGTGTGTGTATGTGTGACTGTCTCTGTTGGTCTTCGTTTTTAGCTTTTGCTTCGCGTACTCCATCCGCTCCCATGTCTACCGGCAGACTCCGTTGTGCCAGGCCCATGGCTTTCGCCCTTCGCCTGGTTTGAAGCAGGCACGGCGCTCGAGTGTCGGGCAGTGACGCCACTCAAACCGTGTTTGACCGCGCTGGCTCCAGCCCCCATGCCTCTCCTCTGTCCGAAGATGGGCTAGACATTGTGGAATCGTTATTGAAGCAAATATGTGAATTCCTATGTTACTTGAGCGTTCTTCGGAGCGCTTTTGCAATTTGAATGCAATGCAAAATCAAAGCGTTCGCAATTGTCGGACATGACAGTGTACCTCTCTTCTCTAACACCATGTAGTGTGACGTAAAACTTGAGGATGTGTATAAAAAGGACAGCTTTTGCACTACAAGGCCGCGCTAAGACATTTTTGAACTGGGGTGTGAAACTTTGCCTTCAGTGCAAAATTAATCCAAATGCTCTGGCTTCAGTTCGGTCTACCCGGTATTAGCGTGATATGGGTATTGATATTGTTCTCGCTTGCCAAACGAATCAGTGGACACAAAAAGCGTCGTAACACGTGCTTGGTAACATGTTTTGGTGTGGCACATAAACAACGTGGATTGGCCGGTCTAAGCAAGGGGCGTCACTGCATGTGCAATTACATGAAATTGCTCGCCAATGTGCATGGCTTTCACTAGCATATGTGTTCAGCACTCATTTGTTAGTCGCAGAGCATGTTTCTGTGCGCGTATTCCCAAGTTGCCTGCATGGAGCAGAACAGGGCAATGACGGCGCAGTTTTCGCACAAGTCTTCGAATACGCTGTTTGAAACGCATCGGGCAAGGTCTTTGTGTGGTCGGGGTCGGAGCGCCGGCGACGCGCTGGGGCTCGCAGACGTCACCTTCCAGCCACAACGGATGAGGGCTGAATACCGTCAGACATCTCTGTATACTGCTGGTTGATTATTTCGGCATAAGCACTTAATGCTGCAAAGCGAGAGCTGAATGCCTTTCTCGCTTATTTAGACCCGTGATTCAGGGGCGGCGCAGCAGGAAATATGAAAACTGCTCTTTTTCATCGTCCTCGACAATCACCGATTCCACGGCACCGACGTCACTCATCTCTACTGCTCTCGCCCACGCCTAGATGGCTAAGGCTTTACAACTCTTCGTGGACTCCACGCACGCCTCCACGCTGTCGCCCAACACCCGGCCGTATGCCGTCGTCGGGCTATCCTCAGCGTGGCTGCCTGACGCGGCGGTCCGCAGCCAGAGCGGCATGTCAGGCCAGGTCCACAGCGCGGCGTACGTGAAGATCACGACTCCCTCGGCTCCGGCCGGCCGGCTACGTGGTCACGAGGTCACGTAGCGTGACCCGCGCGAGCTGGCGGGGCGCGCGCCGGGCGCCAGACTGCGCCGGCGGGCGGCTGTCGTGTCGGCCGGCTGTTGGGGCGGCTGTCGTGTGGCTCAGCCCAGTCGGCGCGGGCGGGCGGGCCGTGTCCGGTGTCCGGGGAGCGCCGCGCCGGCCGGCCTGCGCCGCTGGCCGGCCGGCGCGGGCCGATGGGGAGGTGCAGCGGCTCCTCAAACGTGACCGGGGTGTCCCCTTCCCTGCTGCCGTCGCCGGCTTACGCGCCGCCCCGAACCCCCCTCTTTAGACGTCCGTGCGGAGCGATCGGCGTCGGTCTGGCCAGGCGGGTCTGAACAGCCGTCTGGCTGACTGGCCGATACGCCTCTGCTCTGTCTGTGGTCCGATAACGAATAACCGCGAGTGTCGGCTGGCCGCCCTGTCCCGCCGTCTGCCGCCGTGATGTTTTTCGCTGCCGTATTCCGCTCCGGTTTGTGGTCGGGGCGTCCGCCGGTGCTAGCTCCCACAATGCTGCACGTGCGCAGGCATGCATGCATGTACGTGTATGTGTGCATGTTGCACGGCGTGTCGCTCCTGCCGCACTTTCGGCTGTACCGCGGCCTCTGCGTCCGGCAGCGCGCCTTTGTGCTCGCGAGCTGGCCGCCTGCGCCGGACGCTCAACGCCTTTTGCACTTGTCACCATCCGCTGCTCCGTCGGCTGTAGCCTCCGCTGCCCTCTCGACCGCGGAAGAGAGACGCTGTCACGAACGGGCTGCGTCTGGCGGTCCGGCCGTTGGAGCCCGCCACCGTCCGGGTCGTAACGCGCAGGGGCACAGTGCCGGTCCCCTAGCCGGGTCATGGGACCGCCGCGCGGGCCGCCGGACGGCCGGCCGTGCGGCGCGCGCGGCCGCGGCTCGAGCCTGGCGCGCCTGTTGACTGCCGGACGATGCGCGGCAGGAGTACCAGGAGTCTCAGAAGAAGCGCGAGGAGCACCAGCTGGCGCTGGAGAAGGAGCGCCGCGAGCAGGACCGGCTGGAGCAGCTCAAGAAGAAGGACGTGCGCGAGCAGAGCGCCGTCGCTTCCACAGAGGTCAAGCAGCGTCTGCAGGTGAGTGTCGGCACGCTCTGTCCGCCCAGCCCCGGCCCCGGCCCCGGCCCTGGCCCTGGCCCTGGCCATGGCCTGGCCCTGACCTGGCCCTGACCTGGCCCTGGCCCTGGCCCTGGCCCTGGCCCTGGCCCTGGCCCTGACCCTGACCCTGACCCTGACCCTGGCCCTGGCCCTGGCTCTGGCCCTGGCCCTGGCCCTGGCCCTGGCCCTGGCCCTGGCCCTGGCCCTGGCCCTGGCCCTGGCCCCGTCCCAGTCCCAGGTCCAGGCACGATGTCACTTGGAGCCAGCGGGCGGCCCGCCATTACAAGCAAGATGGCATCCCGCTCACTTGTGCGCTACTTTGTGGAAGATTTGCAAATTGGCCCGTGTCTTTGCTGGTCCCGTTGACAGGTGCACTCGCGACACAGAGTACATGAAGGCGGAAGGGAGAGGGGGGGGGGGACTGGTTCTCGGCATGGCTGGTGGGTTTGTGCTCAGCGCTGTGGCGGTAGTGTGACCTGCCATTTGACCAGGGCAGAGAGGCCGCGTGCTGGTGGGCCGGCAGAGCCCAGCCGTGCGGTGCCGGGCCGTGCTGCGCTGTGCCGCGCCGCGCCGCGCCGCGCCGCGCCGCGCCGTGCCGTGCCGTGCCGTGCCGTGCCGTGCCGTGCCCCGTGCCGTGCCGTGCTGCGCTGTGCCGCGCCGTGCCTCGCCGTGCCGTGCCGTGCCGTGCCGTGCCGTGCCGTGCCGTGCCGTGCCGTGCCGTGCCGTGCCGTGCCGACAGTACTGCTGTGTCCGACAGGAGTTCGTGCTGCAGAAGAAGCAGCGTGAGGCGGCGGCGGCCAGCTCGCCGTATCGTAACTGGTGAGTCACGTTGACTTTATCGGCTCCCCCCCCCCCCCCGCTCCGAAAACAGCAGGCCACCCGGATACGCCTGAGGTGTTACGTTCACGCTGGAGCGCGCTGGAGGCCGCAGGCTTTGGCCCCGAAGCTGCGCTCGTCAGGCGACCGAAGAGTGGTGAAGGTCATGCCCGAGCCTAGCACCACCGAGGCGGCTTGTCAAATCTTAACGCGACGCGCAGGACCGGCTTTGGTCTGGAACGTGGAACAGAATGTCTCCTTCCCTGCTTGCTTTTGATGTCGATTTGATACTTGAATGGGGAACTTCGCGCACGGAAATGCCCGACTCCTGCGGCCGCTCAACCTCTTGTTGCTGACTCATGTCGAGGGCTGCTAGTAGGCTACACGCGGCTAATTATACATGCTCTTTACCGTGTATAAGACTAGGGTTTTCGTGTTTCGCCACTCCCGCGGTGCAGTTGCGGGCTCTGACACGTGGCAGTGCCTTGTTAGTTCCTTGTAATGTTCATACACGAAGTTAAAAAAACGTCAAACGCACGCTCGGGAATTGAGTAAAAGTTGATTTTTTAAGGTATTACCCCGAGCTTGAGCAGCACGTTAGAGCCACCCCTTCCGCCGGCGTGCTGGCGGGATGGGTACATCATCATCGTTATCCATTATCGCGGCACCCTGCAACGTATCAGATGGTGGCATTGGCCACCTGGCTGCGAAGGCACCGTTCCAAAGCTGCCAGATGTTGTGAATAACAGACCTGCATTTCAATTAACAAAAACTGACAGGGGGTACTTCACATTTAACACACTAACAGATTGGTTGTGAAGCATGGAGTGTAGGGCCATTCAGGAAATTGCGCAACTGACGGGCGGTGACAAGTCTTTTTTAGTTGCGCGTGATCATTGTTTTTTTCGAGCTTTCGCGTCGGCATACGTGTGTTGACAACACCTTGTTCGATAGTCTCCATTGATGACCGACCACACAGATGGCCTGGGCGCATCGCAGTGATCGTACGATCTTCATCCAAAGTGCATGTAGACGACAGCCTGTGCAACCCCATACCCTTATGAAGGCTTGCGTGGTCCGTAATGGACGGCGGCACTCGAGCGTGTCCAATAGCATGTACCACACCTAGTGTAACGTTATCCCAGCGAGCAATCAGACGTGTTTCTAGAGTCGTAACGAACCTCCACGCGTCATTGTCATTAACGTCAGTGTAGATTGCCGTGCTTCCCACTGCCACTGCCGTGTTGGTACGGCGGCTGCCGTGTGTATGTGTGGCCGTGTGGCGGGGCGGCGCGCTCGTGCTGGAGCGTAGGCGCCTCCGCCGGCATGCCCGCCCGCCCGTCTGTCTGTGTCGCCGCCCGTCACCGTGCACGTGAACTAACGGCGTGCGTGTCGCGTCCGGCGCCGTCCAGCAGCAACCGGAGCGGGCCCGCCCACCAGCGCTCGGCCGAGAAAGTTAACGCGTCGCCCCACCCCTACAGGACGTCCGTCCTCTCCAAGTATGACGACGATTACTGCCCGCTCAGGAAGACCGGTACGTAGGGCCGCGCTCGCGCCCGCCGCCCCCGCCCGTCCCTGCCTGTGCGCGTGTGCGGGTGGGTGGGTGTGACCGCCGGTCGCGCCCTGCCCCGCGCTAACAGCTCGACGGCTGGCCGCGCCGCCCGGCCGCCGCCGTGTGCCCGGCAGCTTGGCGAATGCATTTTTAGCCTGTCTATTTTAACCGCTGGCCGGCGCTGCGCCGCGGCCGCCCCGCCCCGTTAGTAATAGCCGGCCGCACCGGGCGGACCCGGCGCCCGGCGAGGGCGGTGGCGGGGCGGCTTCAGCGGCGCGCCGCGCCGACGTCCCCGGGCGCGCTCCGAGCAGAGCCGACCGCGTTGGGACCTGCCGCACGCGCAGGCCGTGGGGGGGGGGCATCGTCCAGTCGAGTTGTTCCGCGCGGAAAGGTCATCAATCTCGCGAGGCGCGTCTTTGTGTTTGGAGAGCGTTCTGCAGGCGCTCTGTGCTTGTATGATGACTGCTGGCGGCACGCCGACGATGACTAATAGCAGCCGCTTTTTGTTCGAACCAAAATTTGCTAGCATTGAGCTTAGGTTCTTGCTTTATTGGGGAATTTCAGCCACGTGGACCAATAAGCTCTCCGTTATCAGTCATGGGCCCCCGTCCGCTCCCTAACTCGTTCTTGTTGTTGGCCAGTGCCATTTCGCCGCGACTCTGGACACGAAGGTTGTGGGCGGATGGCAGGGCGCGTGTCGCGCCTAAAAATAGTGTGATTGGTGGGCGGCGAGAGTGCTTCGCGCTGTCGTGTCCGCGAGGCGGGCCATCGGCGGCGGGCGCCGCCTATTTCCGGCTGGCCGCTGCGAGCGGCCGCCTATTTCTGCCGCCACGCCCGGCGAGCGTGGGCGCTGACTCAGCCCAGGTCGAGCCGGCGGCGCTGGGTCGACGCGCGGCACAGCCGGCGGGGTGGGGTCAGGGCGCGTCATGGGGACAGCACGGCCGGGGGCTCCCAGCGCCGCATCCCCTCCCCCCCCCCCTCCCTCCAGACAACGCGGGGCGGGACGACGTGGCCCAGACAGATGAGATCCCGCGGCTTTGCCGGGATGTCGTCCTTTGCGTGTAGCCTAGGCTTGTAGATTGGCCCTCATTGTGGACGGTGGAAGGAGCACTAACCGCACGCGGACTGCCCGCTGGGCTGCTCTGGCCCTCAGCCGCCGTGGGCTTCTTCACATCATGTCCCGACGGGCGAGCGAGCGTGGCAGCTGGCTTGTCCGGAGCTCGGTGTCGTCTGTGTGAGATAACACGCCTGTCGTGTCGTGTGCCGTGCCGTGCCGTGCCTGTCCGGTGGGCGTGAGCGTGCGCAGCGACTAACGGCGCGCCGACGGCCGCCGCAGCGTCCGAGCCGAACATCAGCCTGAAGGCACGCATCAAGCAGCGTGTGCTGGACCGGTGCGCCGGCTCGCCTCTCGGCCGCCGCCTCCACGAGCACGCCGGCGGCCCCATCAAGCACAAGAGCAAGCTGGCCCGTAAGTACCGCCGCCGCCGCCGCCGCCGCCGCCGCCGCCGCCGCCGAGAGCGGGGGCGGGGAGGACCCGAGAGGGGTCGGGACCCGGACCCGGCCCACCTCCGCTGCCCGGTGCCAGCCGGTCACGGGCTGTCACAGGTCAAGCCGCCCCCGTCACCCGCGGTTAAGGGCATGGCGGCGGGCCGGCCAGTGTCCGGCTTCACTTCGCAGCCGATTGGACGGCGCAGGTATGACGAGTGAAATGTCGCGACAATTACGTCATCATCCCGAACGAATTCCGGTGCGGTTATGAGGCTGTGACAGTGGGTTTGTGTCACGGCGGTTTGTGGTACTTTATGGGAGGTAGGGATGATGGTGAGATCTGAGGAAAGGGATAAGTGAGGATAAGGTAGGATAGCATAGGTGAGGATATGAGAGGATAGGATAGTTGAGGATAGGATAGGATAGGTGATGATGGAATATGATGGGATATGATAGGATAGGATAGGATAGGATAGGATAGGATAGGATAGGATAGGATAGGATAGGATAGGATAGGATAGGATAGGATAGGATAGGATAGGATAGGATAGGTGAGGATATGATAGGTGACTGTAGATGGCGAGATAGTGGGATGCATGGTAGCCCATGAGGTGGGAGCTGAGAGCTGAGACAGAAAGTGGCGTGTCACCGTATGAATTGTGACAATAACACCATGAATGGCTAGGTAGCGCCTTGGTTTCCCGACACCTAGACTCGTCGATACCCCAGAGCTGAATGTGTCCTGAGGCGCTGATTGCTCGGTGCCGAAACGTGTGGCCCTCCAGCTTGAGGGCAAACGTAGACGTTCTGTTTCACCGCGATTGAAAAACAAAGGCGAGGACCTTTAACCTTTTTTCGGATTGAGTTGCTCGCGTGTCCTGAGGCACTGGGAGTGCTTGTGAAGATTTAAGAATCCTGTTAAGGGCCTCGGTCGGCGACCAGTTTTATCAGCTTTATTGTTGCATCGATGATGTTGATAACCAGGTCTATTTTGGGAATTCCAAGAAATCAAGGTTCATGCTGTCCATTCGAGGAATGTTGTCAATCGACTGTCAGCATGAAGTACGCTAAGCAGGCCCTTACGATTTTTGGTTTGCCTGTAATCTCGATCTTTGGGCAGGTGGATGGTTTTCGGCGCGTACCGAATGAGCAGGATGTGTCCGCGCATTTTGCGGTAGCGTGTAGGCGATTGACAGTGATTTATCAGCAAAAACAAAAACCAAAACAAAATAAAACACAACAGGACTGTCAGCTCAACTAAACACCATTGATCCGCCAGCCGTTCACGCCGTAGCCTCGTACATCCGGAGGACATCCGTGTGTGGCCTGTGTGTGCTTGTGAATTGGTTGAGGATGGGGGACGGGGTGGGGGAGGACCAGCGGTACCGTCGTCACTCCTGCCGGACTGGCGCTGACACCCCGCCGTTCCCGGCCCGCTCTGGGTTACGGCCTCTGCCGCGGCCGCCCCGCAGGACCCGACGTAGGAGCGGCGCCGCCCTGGCCCGGCCGGCGGCTCGCGGCCGGCTGCTCTGGCGCTCGGTGCGGTCGTCTGTCTGTGTGACGTCGTGGTGGGCTGGGCCGGACCGGTCGGCCGCGCTCAGGCCGGTCGGCCCGGCCCGGCCCGGCTCGGTGAGGGCGGGCGCCCGCCGGCCGGGTGCCTCGGCGGCCGGCGCGCTAGCCGGCTCGGGCATAGACGGGCCCCTGTCGAGACGCAGCCGGAAGGGTCCCGAGAGCGGCGGCAGCGCCTCGCGGGCGCCGGGCGTCGTCAGCGGACGGCCGGGCCGTCACCAGGCCTGCCCGGTCCCCGGGGCGGCCGGCCCGATCTCCCAGTCGGCCCCGTCCGGCCCGGCCACTGGCGGCCGTGCGCTGGCCGCTGTCCGGCCGCCGTCTGAGCCCGGCCGACTGGAAGACCTTGAGCCGGGACGCCGCGGCGCCGCTCGGACCGGCCATGTGCGGCACAGTGCCGAGCGGCGCGCATCTGCCGCCGACGGGCCGGTCGGTGACGTCACGGCGGACGCTGCAGCGCCGGCCAGCGCTCGCGCCGGCGCGTCCGGGACTGGCGCGGCGAGGCAACACTTTTGGCGGGCTGAAAATTAAGGCGGTGCTCGCGTGCGTGAAATCGAACCCGTGCAGACCGACGTGGGGTTTGTTTTCTGGGTGAACGGTGCAGGATTACATTTGGATAAATGTTTCAATTTGTCATGCGTCTCAACTTTTGAAGAATTAAAGGGTGAGCAGATGTGATTCAACACGCAATATTGCCGCATTTCTCAGAATTTGGGGCTGGGCTCTCTACCTCTTCCCCCCCCCCCCCCCTTCCTTCTGATCTGCCGCCTGTGCGTGAGGCAAGGCCGCCGAGTTAGAGACCACACGCGGCGCGTGTCGGACGCGCGGCGGAGGTGTGGCGCAGCCGGCAGAGCACGCCCCGCCGTCCGCTCGAGCCGTGTGAGGTCATCCCGTGCCGTTGGGTGCCAGTCTGTCGGTGACCGGCCGTGTCGGACCGCCGCGGCGCGCCCCGCCCCGCCCCGGCGGCGGCGTCTCGGCGCTCGCGGCCGGACGCGGTCGGCGGCGGCGGCGGCGGCGGCGGCGGCGGCTCGGCGCACGCGGCCAGCTCTGGACGCGGCGCGGCTCTCAGCGGCGGCCTGCCGGCAGCGGTGGGAACGACCTCCAGGCTGGGAACGGCCGCCGGCCGGCAGTCTGGCGTGTATGGCCTGTTGTCGTGACGGGTGACCGGTTCGGAATCCAGGCTCACCGGTAGCGGGGCGGCGGGGGGCAGAACTCGCGCGGTCTTCGAGTTGCCGGGTCACTGGGTATGGGGCTCAGCCGTTTGACTGTCGCAAACGCTGCGGCAGCTGGCGTCGGACAACGCCGTCTGTTGCGCTCTTCGCCTTTGTTGACGAGCCGGGATGGCACACTCGGCCGCCGCTCAAGCGAGACGTCCGCCGGCCAGACGGGTCGGCGTCCTGCCACGCCGCGCGATGCTGCGGCCGGGGCCTCCCTGACGGGGGCTCCTTGTGTCGGCAGTGGAGTCCAGCACCAGCACGCCCGACTCGGACCCGAGCTCGCCCCCCAGCGCGTCCTTCCTGATGGCCAGCGGCCGGCTGGGCGGCACCGCCATCCAGGAGGTGAGGTGGCGCACCGCGCCGCGCCGGATCTGTGCGTGCGCACCGGAGCGTGGGCACAGGACAGCCACCGCCCTCCGTGCGATGTAGCGTAATGCGGATGCGTAATGTAGCGTACACATGGGCAAGCGCTTCTGTGGTGTGATGAAGTCAGCGCGTGACGTATCTGTCTATGGACGTTTGTAATGTCCGGTGTGCATATTGTGCTGACATACTGTTTGGTGGGAATCGCCGGGGATTGGAATCGCCGGGCTTAGGTCGAGAGTTTCAACATTGCTCCCCCGCCCGCACAGATCCCACGGAGGCGACACTCAAACCGGTTACGTGGGCCCCTGGTGTTGGACGAAACGTGCTACCGCCCGGTCCTCGACACGGCCCGCGACGTGGGGCTGTGCGGCGCCGTGGTCGGTTGGCGCGGTTGTCGGTCGCTGTGGCGGCCCGCGTGCCCCGTGCTGCCTCACACGCCCCTGACGCGCGCTCCCGTCCGTCGCAGGAGGGCGGCGGCTTGCCGTTCCACCTGGCCGGCCTGGGCGGCCGCGGCGCGCCGGAGATGTCGCTCTACAGCAGCCCGTCCATGCCCAACATCTCGCTGGGCAGGCCGCCCGTCCACACGGTAAGCCGGCCGGTCGGCGGTGCCGCTCCCAGCGGCGTCGGCCGCGCCCCCGCAGCCGCCCGTGCTGTTAGGAGTGCCCGCGCCGCGGCTGGCGGCACCCCAGGCCCGTGTCTGGACAGCGCCGGCGTTTGGGAGCGGCATTCTGCTGTGTTCAGATCTGTTTTGAGTTGCTTGGATTGAGTGTCTGGAATTTTCCCGCGCTGTGTGTAGCCGTGATTAAAAGAAGAGACGTGGTAGATGTGATGTACACAGATGGTTTGGCAGTCGTTTAATGTCGCGCCTCGTAGCGATCCTTGCTCCCGGCCTTGGCAAGCAATGGTGCTTACACCCTCAGAAAAGCCCGCTTCCTTGCCTCGAACGTTTTTTTCTTTACTCGTTCACAGCGATTTGCATATTGCAACGGTGCCTGTCGGCGAAATGTGGTGACCTATTCAGCAACAGTTTCAGCGGAAGAATGCATCGTCATCGATATCGAGCGAGCGCGATATATGCATTCGCTGATCAACCACTGACATTTCGAAAGGTTCTTTACCCGTCGCTGTTTGTGTGGTCCATATATATATGGCCAGAGGAACCAATAACCACAAACGGTTCGTGGAATCGACTGCGGTCATTTTCCAGCGAGACCTTTGAGCTTCCGGGAGCCAGCGTCCTTACGGAAATAGAGTTAATAATTCAGGAGCGTGCTTGTTTGATGATGTTAGCTCCTCGCATCGACCCGTCCAGATTTAGCTCGTACTTCGTTTCACTTTTACAGCTAGAAGTTTAGTGCGGCTTCCGTTAGTGCTGTCAGTTGGATGGCGTTTGTGGAGGCTCGCCGTCTGTGGTATACCCGGAAGGTGTATTCGCAGTGCACCAGGAATGTGCTTCTCTACGTGATGTCGCGTGAAATAAGTCGGACGTGTTCGCAGTGCGGCACGATTTCTGTTTGCGTTTTCGTAACTGTCGCGGCAATAACTGCGCATGTGAAGACACGAAGATTCTCGTTTGCAGATACTATGATGCTCCTAAAAATGGCAGCTGCAAATTATGGGCTTGTAACGTAAAACACCTTTGTTTCACTCGTAGTCGGTCCTGGGCACACAAATTGACCTCTTCGTAATTGAATCTTGAAAAATTGCGCCATTTCTGGCTTAGTTGGATCGAGTCTCGGGAGAACATTCCGCGCGTCCTGCTAACATCCTGCGTGACATCACGTAGCATCTTTGTCGTCCGGGTCCCGGCGAACAAACAAAAGGCACACAATCTATGGGATATAACATCATGAATAACGTCAACGGCATCGATTCGTTGTCGTCCGGGTCGCTGGAAATGCACCTTAAGTGGGGCTTTTCCGGGCCGTGTTCACAGAGCTCCAATACGGTCCCATTCGGCGCATGAAACATCGGCACACCAGATTACCAGAACACCATATCACGCACCACGCAGTGCGTGGTGCGTGAATGAGCCTGATATGGTGAATGCGCCGTATGTTTTTGCGGTATTTCGGGAGCAGGCTCGAAGCGCCCCCTTTAGTCCGCATTCATCAACGGCGGCCGCGCGCTGACGTCGCCGACGACGCACGCTGGGGACTGATGAGCCTGCTTGGGCTTCCTGCTGACCCGGCCCGCGTCAGCGTCAGCGGCTGCGGCCCGGACCGGGCCGGGGTCACCACCACGCCTGCTGCGTCGCCCGGCGGCGGCGGCGGCTGGGCGGCCGGCCGAGCGCCGTGGCCGACCGACCTCGCCGGCCGCCCGCCCGGCTGTATAAATACCGACGTACTGCGCAGCGCTGGGCCGGCCTATTCGCGGCGGCGTCGGCGTATTTCTAGCCGTCCCGGGAGAGCAGCGCCCGACACCGATCGACCGCCGCCGCCGCGCGCGCGCGCCGAAATAACCCCTGCGGCGTGCGCCCGGCCGGCCCCGGGCCGCCGCTCCGGCCGTGTGGGAGGAGGACGAGGCGGTGACGAGCTGCCGCAGGAGGCGCGCGGCCAGAGCGGCGGCCGGCGCTCGGGCCGCCGCCTGGCGGCCGGCGGCGGGACGGCCGCGGCGGCGCCGCCGCGCCGCCGAGGTCCGCTCCTGACCGTCCGACAGGGTCAGGGCCGGCCGCCGTCGGCCCGCCGGGGGCCGTCGACGGCTGCGGCGCCGCCGGTCGGCGGGGCGTCAGCGGGGCGTTCGGCGGCGTCCGGCAGTGTGTGCGGAGCACTGCGCGCCGGCCGGCCGCGGCGAACGGCGGCCAGCCTGTGCGTCTGGCGTCGGGCTGACAGCGGCGCCGGCAGCCGGGGCTCTGTCGCCGGGCGGAACCGGCGCCCGTCGCCACGCCGGACCGCGCCCGGTCGTTGCAGCTCTGCACCAGCTCCGGCTGCGACGGCGGCCTCTGGGCCGCGCGGCGGGAGGTCGGGCCGCGCCCGGCCACGAGAGCTAACACTGGCGCTGGGGGCGCGCTATGCTGCAGGCGCGCCGGTCGGTCGAGCAAGACACCCGCAAAGGCGCATCCAGGCGGCATGAGCTTATGGGCGCGGAGACTGGCAATGTCACACAGAGATGCTGTCTGTCTCCGAGCCGCAGGCGCCGCTGTCTCCGAGAATGTAGGTTGACAATGTCTCGGAGAGACTTACAGCGGGCCTTCTCGCTGCTGTATGTATGGGTACATCTTGATTTCACCACGTGGCTTCGAGCGAGAGGAACAGAGAAGTCCTATATCATTCACGGGACGGACCGTGAAGGCTGCGGTGTTCACGGTCTATTGACCAACGTACTTGTACCCTATCGACGCTGCGCCCGCCCGACTGAACGGGCCGTGCGCCGGTCGTCCTTCGGCTACTCCTGGCTGTGCGTCGTCCGTCCTTCGGTAGCTGCCGGCCGTCCTTCGACAGTTGCCGGCCGCCCCTCTGCGTAGCTGGCCGTGCCGGCGTCCTTCGGACAGCTTGCCGGTCGTCCCTCGCTAGCTGCCTGGCCTGTGCATCGTGCCGTCCTTCGTAGCTGGCCGGCCGTCCTTCGGTACAGTTGCCGACCGTCCCCTCGGCTGCTAGCCTGGCTTGCAGCCGGCCGTCCTTCGGTAGCTGGCGGTCCGTCCGCAGCTGGCGGCCAGTCCTTCGGTACCTTGCTGACCGTCCCTCGGCTGCTGCCGGCCTTGCGCCGGCCGTCCTTCGGTAGCTGGCGGTCGTCCTTCGGTACCTTGCGACCGTCCCTCGGCTGCTGCCGGCCTTGCGCCGGCCGTCCTTCGGCAGCTGGCGGCCGTCCTCCGGCTGCTGCCGACCGTGCACCGGCCGTCCTTCGGTTGCTGGCGGCCTTCCTTTGGCAACTGCCGGCCGGCTTTCTGTAGCTGGCGGCCGTCCCTCGGCTGCTGCTGGCCGCGCGCCGGCCGTCGTGCGGCAGCTGGCGGCCGTCCCTCGGCAGCTGGCGGCCGGTGCGCCGCCTCCTCCGGCCATCAGTCTCCGTCGGCGGCGGCGATCAATGCTCATCAGGCGACCTTTCACCTGACCGCGGGTCGCCGCCAGCCGGGAGCGGCCGGCCCACTCGTCGAGGATTGATCCGAGCCCCCACCGCGCCGGCCGGGTCGTGGGCTGGCCGTGGCGGCGTTCGAGGCCAGTTGCCCAGGTTTGGCTGGGCCAGGCGGTGGGGCTTTGACGCGAACCAAGGTCGTCATACGATAAAACATTAAGTAGCCAAACATCAAAGCACTGTACGGCCCCTGCGAGTGCCTTTAGCTTCCGGCACCGTGATGCTTGGCCGGTGGCCAGGGGTTTAGTGGCCAACTATTGCAACTTGTCTCAAAAAGGCGCAGTAGAATCTCGCCCATCAGCCAATCCGCGCGAGCGATTGCATCTCAACGCTGAATGTCAAACCCGTGTGTCTGTTATCTCCTCGCCGGCCGGGCTCGGCGTACCCTGGACCGGCATCAGCGGCACCCGGACATGGCGTCGACGGCCGCGGCCGTTGGCGGGCCTGCAGGCGCCGTGGGCGACGCCGGCCGGTCAGCGGCGCCGTCGGCGGTGCGTGAGAGCGGTTGGCGGCGGCGGCGGCGGCGGCGGCGGCGGCGGCGGCGGCCCGGCTGGCGTGGCCCGTGACCCTGTGTGTGAGCTCCATCGATCAGCCGGGCCGACGGCGCGCGACGATCGATGGCTCCTGACCCGACGCCGTCGCCCCAGCGCCGTCTTCAGACGCGGAAGTGGCCCCGACCGCCGTTCGGCCGCCCCTGCCCGGTGTGCGCCGCGTCGATACGGGGCGCGCTCGCCGTGGCGGCGCCGGCTGTGCCGCGCGCCCGTTGCGTGTCCTACGCGCGTCCGGCATCCACCAGCGCGCCAGCCGAGGCCGCTGGAGTACGCGAGCCATCAGCAGACGCCGGAGGGCCGCGCTGTGTCGGCGGCAACGAACCGCGGTGCGCCGACCCCGCCGCCAGGTCCGTGCGCGGCTAGCGTCAGCCCGGCGCCGGCGGTCCGCCGTCTTAGCTTCAGCTCCAGCCCCAGCCTTAGACTCAGCCCCAGCTCCAGCTCCAGCTCCAGTCCCAGACTCAGGCTCAGCTCCAGCACCAGTCTCAGGCTCGGCTCCAGCTCCAGTCCAAGCTCCAGGCGCAGCCCAGCTCCAGCCCCAGCCCAGGCTCAGTCCCAGTCCCAGCCCCAGGCTTAGTACCAGCCCCAGCCCCCGGCTTAGCACCAGCCCCAGTCCCCGACTTAGTACCAGCCCCAGCCCCAGGCTTAGCACTAGCCCTAGTCCCAGGCTTAGTACCAGCCCCAGCCCCAGGCTTAGCACCAGCCCAAGTCCCAGGCTTAGTACCAGCCCCAGTCCCAGGCTTAGTACCAGCCCCAGTCCCAGGCTCAGCACCAGCCCTAGTCCCAGGCTTAGCACCAGCCCCAATCCCAGGCTTAGTACCAGCCCCAGCCTCCGGCTTAGTATCATCCCCAGCCCCAGGCTTAGCACCAGCCCCAGCCGCAACTCCAATCCCAGCTCCAGTCCCAGCTCCAGGCTCAGCCCAGCCCCAGACCCAGCGGCTGCTGGACCGAGCTTGGCACTGGCTGGGGGTGGTGGTGGGGGGACAGGCAGGCGTGCCGGTCGTGGGCGAGGTGGGCGGGGCGTGTCGGCCCGGCTACAAATTGCCGGTAGAAGGTCAGGTCGGCTAGAGCGGGGGCGCGCCGGGACCATCGCTCAGCCGGCTGGCGCGGCCGGCCGCGCCGCGTAGGCCGCCGGCCGCCTCACGCGAGGGGCTTAACGGCGCTCGGGGCCGGCGACTAATGACCGGCCGCGCCGAACAGACGGAACCGACGTACCGGCGCGCCGGCACTGAGAGTGCGGAGCGCACCAGGCGACTGGCCTGGCGGGGCCGTCTGCCGAGTCCGCGGTCTCCCGGCACCGGCCGCGCCGGCCGGAACCTCCCTCCGGGGCTGACCTGGCCGGACTGGTGTGTGCTCAGCGGCCGGGCGGCGTGGGCAGCGAGACGGAGCCGTCCCGGCCCGGGGCCGCCCCTGGTACTGACTGATCTGACCGTGATGGGTGTGTGTGTCCGGCAGGCCGTCGGCCCCGGCAGCGAGACGGAGCTGCCCCGGTCCGGGGCCACCCCTGGTACTGACTGACCTGACCGTGATGTGTGTGTGTGTGTGTGTGTGTGTGTGCGTGTGTGTGTGTCCGGCAGGCCGTCAGCTCCGGCAGCGAGACGGAGCCGCCCCAGGTCCGGGGCCGTCCCTGGTACTGACTGACCTGACCGTGATGTGTGTGTGTGTGTGTGTGTCCGTCAGGCCGTCAGCTCCGGCAGCGAGACGGAGCCGTCCCGGCCCGGCCCGTACCCGCCGCTGATTCCGATCGGGGCGCCCATCATGGCGCCCTTCTTCCCCATGCTACCCGGTGAGTAGGCACTGCTCGCGCTGGCCTGGTTATGGCCACTCTGAATCGATATTGCAAGTGAACCTCGACTCTGAGCGGTGGTCATTGGCGCGTGCACACAGTTGTGCGTATAAAGGTGCGTTGTGCGCCTTTGACGAGTGTCGGTTGTCGTCATGCGTGACGTCAGTTGGCGGGTGTGATGGCACGCTGGGCGGCTGGTTAGCGGCTAATCACTGTAGAACACTCCTCTGCGTGCAGCGTGGCGTGAGAGTGCTGATGATGGCGCCGCCTTGGCAGCCTGTTCACTGAGGTCACTGAGCCGGGGTCCCCAGACCGAAACGGGCCTCAAGCCCGGTTCCTCTGCCCGAAGCGTGTCTCGAGCCGGGGTCACCAGCTTGAGGCGTGTCTCGAGTCGGTGTCACCAGCCCGAGGCGTGTCTCGAGCCGGAGTCACCAGCCCGAGGCGTGTCTCGAGCCGGGGTCCCCAGCCCGAGGCGTGTCTCGAGCCGGGGTACCAAACCCGAGGCGTGTCTCGAGCCGGAGTCACCAGCCCGAGGCGTGTCGCGAGCCGGAGTCACCAGCCCGAGGCGTGTCTCGAGCCGGGGTCCCCAGCCCGAGGCGTGTCTCGAGCCGGGGTCCCCAGCCCGAGGCTTGTCTCGAGCCGGGGTCCCCAGCCCGAGGCGTGTCTCGAGCCGGGATCCCAAGCCCGAGGTGTGCCTCGAGCCGGAGTCACCAGTCCGAGGCGTGTCTCGAGCTGGGGCCACCAGCTTGAGGCCGGTCTCGAGCCGGGGTCTGCCGGTTGCGCCGCCTGCACGCTCTGAGGCTGGACCTCCGCTGTTGCAGTGATAGACAGCGAGTGCGCGCCGCCCACGTCCCCCGCCTACATCCGCAAGCAGATGGAGACGCTGGAGCAGGTATCGCGCACCTCCAACCCGCTCATCAGCGGCTTTTACCCGTCGCACGGTGTCACGTGCGCCCAGGTGAGGGTCGGTCCCTGCCCGGCGTTGCGGGGCGGGGGGGGGGACGGGACCTCTGGAGGATCAGTGTTTATTATGGGGCGAGACGAGGGTACCCAGGTGAGAGGTGATCCCCGCCCGGCGGGAGGGGGGGGGGGGGTGGCGGGACCTCTGGAGGATCAGTGTGAGGGGGGGGGGGCAGACGGGGTGCCCAGGTGAGGGGCGGTCCCCACCCGGCGATACAGGGGGTGGTTCTCGGAAGGATCAGTGTGGGGGGGGGGGCAGGACGAGGATGCCCAGGTGTGGAGCGATCTTCGCCCGGCGGTGTAGGGAGGCGGGACCTCTGGAGGATCACCGGGGGGGGGGGGGGGGGGGGTCAGACGAGGGTGCCCAGGTGAGGGCGGTCCCCGCCTGGCGATGAAGAGAAGCGGGACTTCCCGAGGATCAGTGTGGGGAGGGGGTCAGACGGGGTGCCCAGGTGAGAGCGGTCCCCGCCCGGCGGTGAAAGGAAACGGGACCTCCCGAGGATCATTGTGGGGAGGGGGGGGGGGTTAGACGGGGGTGCCCTGGTGAGGGACGATCCCCGCCGGGTGTTGCGGGGGACCTTTGGAGGATCGGACGCGGCAGCGTAGGCGGCCCTCCACACGGCCTCTGGGGCGGTACGTGCGTTCGTGTGTGGCGCCGTGGCGGCTGGCGCTGTCTGTTTGCTCTTGGCCGACGGTCTGTCGGGCGCGTGTGCTCGCACGCGGTGCTGATGCGGTGCTTGACCGACGTGGCCCTGTGTGCGTCAGGCGGCGCAGGCGCGACTGGGCCGCACCATCCAGGGCCGGCCGCTGAGCCGCACCCAGTCGGCGCCGCTGCCGCTCGGCCACCCGCTGCTCCAGCAGGCCAGCCTCACCCAGCAGCAGTACGACCAGCTGGTCAAGGAGCGCCGGCTATACGAGCAGCAGCACCAGCACAACCTGCTGAAGCAGGTGCGACAGGCCACGGGGCGGTGGGCACCAGAGCCCAAGCTTCAGCGGTGCTGTTGGGTGGTTATGTCTCCACATTAGTCAGTGGCTTCCATTGTCATTGGCTTTTGACGCCCTGTTGCAAACCGGGACCTGCAAAAGTTTCGCACGACGGGAACTGAACCCCAGACCTCTCGATTTGGAGCCAACTGCCGTAACCACTCGGCCGGTTGTGACCTTGCTTGACCGTAAAGCGGCTACAGGCTCATGCTCGTCTCAAGATTGCAGCGGCCCACAAGTTGCATCAGCGATCCTCGATCGCTGATTGGTCTGTGCACACGTCATGCTGTGTGCCCTTCCGGCATCAGGCCGCTTATAAGGCGTCCACTCCCCACTACCCGCACACGATCGCTGAAGCTCTGCCCGCTCGGGACGGCGGAGCGCTGTCCGACCGACCGTCACTGCGCCAGACCTCTAGGCTGTCATGGGGCGTCGCCGGGGGGCGACCTCCACGGGCGGGAGGAGCAGCCTCGCCTCGGCAGGACTGGCGGTGAGCAGCCAGGCGGCCGCACTGTCGGAGTCGGCCCTTCGCAGTCTGGACAGCCGGTGTGTGTCGCCTGCGCCCGGCGCGCCGCGCCTGACCCGCGCCCCGTCTGTTGCAGCACATCCGCCAGACTGTGCTGACCCGGGCCGGCAGCAAGAACCACGTGGAGAACGTGGAGGAGGAGACGGAGGCGGCCGTGGCGCGCGAGATGCAGGAGTCCAAGGACGCGGAGGTGAGCCACTCCCGCTGCCCCCGCGTCGAGCTCTCGTCGAAGCGGGCTGTAGACCCTGCGGTGGTGGTGGGCCGGCGGCTGGCCATCGGTGGTCACAGCTGGCGGTACACCAGCTGAGGTGAGCCGCTCCCGCTGCCCCCGCGTCGAGCTCTCGTCGAAGCGGGCTGTAGACCCTGCGGTGGTGGTGGGCCGGCGGCTGGCCATCGGCGGTCACAGCTGGCGGTACACCAGCTGAGGTGAGCCGCTCCCGCTGCCCCCGCGTCGAGCTCTCGTCGAAGCGGGCTGTAGACCCTGCGGTGGTGATGGGCCGGCGGCTGGCCATCCGTGGTGACAGCTGGCGGTACACCAGCTGAGGTGAGCCGCTCCCGCTGCCCCCGCGTCTAGCTCTCGTCGAAGCGGGTTGTAGACCCTGCGGTGGTGATGGGCCGGCGGCTGGCCATCGGTGGTGACAGCCGATGGTGCAGCAGCTGCTGACCGGCGGTCACAGCTGGTGGTGCAGCAGCTGCTTACCGGCCGCCGGGCGCGAGCTGTGGCGGCAGAGGTGTGCGGCGCCCACGGCCCCGTCACCCGGCCTGACTCGTATGCACACCCTGCCCGGCGCTGCCCGACAAGCGGGGACGGTCGCCAGCGGAGCGCGAGGACGATCGCGGCGACTCGGGCAGCGGCGGCCTGTGCAGCGACCCGTCTTGCTGCCATCGTGATTACATGTTGTCACATACACATACCACACAGCCTGGTACAACCAGGCACATTAATGATGCAATGGGCTCAGTGTCCCTTCAGAATAACGCTATTTTTAACCTGGCCAAGCTGATGTAACCAGTGTGTAAACAAGAGAACCGGGATATTTTAAATTTATGGTTACGACCGTGATTACGACGCCGTTCGCTTTAAATGCTCTGGAACAACTTACACTGCAAACAACCGGAGCTCAGTAAACGACAAGCAGGCAGGCTTCAGCGGGTTGTGGTGATGGCTGCGGACGCGGACGTATGGTGCGTCTCCGCCTCTGGAGTATCTGCACAGCAGGCACTGGAACGAGTTGACGGCGCTGTTTCATGTGTGTAATGTAACCGTATGTTTTTGCGACAACGCACATATATCCTTACACGTGGTCGCCCGTAATGTGCATTGTGGCGGTATTGAGCGCCTGCACCTTGCGTCTTGCCCGCCCGTTGTAATTTCGCTCCATATGTATTGCAGTCCTGCATTCCCACAAGGGAACTCCAGACATCCCGACCGCCCGTTCCGTATCGTGTCTGCATGCATGCTCTGTCGCACCGGTACAGCGCGAAGTGACGCTGTCGCGCTGTACCACGTTAGGGCATGGCGTTCTGCGCCGCGCGCGCCCGCGCCCCGACCGTGCGTCCTGACGCTGTGACGCTTCGCCAGGTGATCGATCTGACCGAGGTGCGGGAGGAGCTGCAGCCCCAGCTGAACTTCAGCTCCCGGTCAGCCTACAAGGACGGTACGTGTGGGCGCCGCCGGGCGCTGGGAGGTGCATTGACGCGCGGCGCGGTGCCACCGGCGCGCTCAGCCGTCGCCCAGCTGTGAGCGGGTGTCGGCTCGCCGCCTGTGTCCGCGTGCCGAGCGACGGCGCCGCCGCTATCGGCGGCTCCGCCCCTTCGCCAGCGGATGTCGTTGCGGGGACGTCAGCGCCTCGCTGGCGGCGTTGGTGGAGACCCGGAAGCGCCTTGTTCGTGCGCTCGGGGCGTCTTCGCGGCCAACAGCATGTGGCTGTTGATTGGCAGGAGCGCTCGGCAGCCAATGGCCGTTTCTGTGAATGAGGCGCGCCCGCGAGTGCTGCCTTGGTTGTGTGCCACCAGGGCTGTCGAAGTCGCCCCTCAGCGGGCCTCGGCGCACGTGGCGAGCAGGGCCGGCTGTCAGGCGGGATCTTAGCCGCGGGAGGGGTCCCTGGCTCCGGTTCTCGGATATGTCGGGCTTCTCGGAATCTGCCCCGCCGCTAGCATTGGTCATGATCTCTGGAACCAGGCCGGCCACGTTTTCCAGGTAGGCCTCCCGCCAAACATTGGGATATTCCCGGCGTCCGCGGGTCCAGCCGTCCGACGCCCCGGCCGCGCCTGGGAGACCTCGGCTCGGCCCCGGCCGCCGCGGCAGTGACCGTGGCCTGACGGCAGGCTCGTCGCTCATGCCATGTTATGTCGTCAGTTTCAGTTTGCTTGCCATGCTTTGTCAGTTTTAAAACTGTCAGTCTCAAAGTGATTGTGTCAGTTTCGCTGTCGTCTGGGCGGCCCTTGGAAGTCGCTTGTCCGCTGGGCCGGATCGCACGTCCGTTCCGGTCTCGCTGGCTCGGTTGCCGGGCGTGCAGCGGGCCGTCCCCGCGCCGCTGTCTCAACGCTCACTAGGCGCTCGATCCGCTCCGTGTGTGATGGACCCCGTCGATTGCTCGGTTTCCGCTCCTGGCTGTGCGAGATTGCCGCCTCCATTCGCAGCAGTCGTGATGACGTCCCGCAAAGGCCGTCTGGCCCCCAGAGACAAGGCTGGGCCGGCTAATAACGACAGAGACACGGCCTCGCACCTCCGGCGGCGTGTGTCGGTCGAGTGACGTGACCGGCCGCTGGCGAGCGTTCGCACGTACCTTATTGATTGGCGCCCGGGCTGTAGCGTCGCTTCGACCCGCCGCCGTCGACATGTGTGGCGCGCCTTCCGTATTGATCCCGGGGAATCGATGTCCGGATTAATTAATCCAAGGTACCGGCCGAGCGGAGATTGATGCCTGCGCCCGGCCGTGCGATGGCGGGAGGCTTAAGGTCGGGGCCGTCCTTCGATGGTGACGGCTGGGTGGGTGGGGGTGAGGGGGGGAGGGGAGTAGCACACGCCAGCCGGGCACCCTGAACGGTCTCAATGTCGCGGCGGCACGAGTGTCGGTCCCCCCGGCTGTGTGTATGGGTTAGGTGGACGGTCACGAGGGCCTGTGTCATGGCTGGGCGGATGTGGCTTACGCGATACCATAACACATGCCTGGGGCCCGGGCGCATTCTTCTGTTCGCGTTGTTGTTTGCGTTGGCTGGGTCGGACCGGAAGTGCTCCGGGGTCGATACCGGGTCAAGTGAGGCGCATAAATGATTCGGGGGAGTCTGAGCAGACTGCATTGAAGGCAGGCGTTATTGTATTCCAGGAAGGGAGTTACATCATGTTGTTGCATCCGATAATGCTAGAGGCTGCTATTGCATACGTCCATTCCACGAATGCTGGTCGATAGCGCTGCGTGCTTCATCACGGTGGATAAGCTTTCGGAGGTAAATGTGTCGAAACTGTGGGAGGGTGGGGCGGCGATGGGATGCGTTTCCAAGGCGTGCGCCAATGCTGGATTTGATTGGCCGAAAGGTTTCTCCATGTTGGGGTTCATGTCGCGACAAGTAAATAGTGTGACCGGAAAGCCTTAAATCGCAAGCTTTAAGATCTCAACTTAGCCGAGCTTGTATTTTACGAGGGGAGAGAAGTGTGACGAAAATTGTTTTAGGCCACTTTCCGGACCGAGCTCACCTTCATTTCTAGGGGAAAAGGGTGGGTTGAGTGGGTTGAAGGGGGGGGGGGGGAGGGGGAGGCCTCAACGAGCGAGCGGGCCCATTGTCAGCAGTGACCCGACTGCATCGCGTTAAACTTTCGACGCTTGTCGTGCTGGCTCGGTCGTCTGGTCAGTGACTGCCAGACCTCCCGTGCGAATGACCTGACACGCTGAAGATCGTGGTAAGCTTGGAACTGAAACCTTCACTCTGCCCAGCCGGTGGCAAGGCTTGCATAATGTGCTAGACTGGTCTACAGCCCTGCTGAACCACGGAGAAAATGGTTTACCAGGTCACATGATAAGTGCGGTGAGGCAGCGGAGAAACAAGGCGTTTCGTCAGCACGGTTCCAACGAACATATTTGGTGGGCTAACAACAACAGTCCACGTGCACCCGAGCTGGACCGCGTTCGCCGAGACCAGCGGGACAAGCTGACCCTGATTTTGACGTGCCAGCTCCGGGCATATGGGCGCACGGCGCTGGCCACAGTATGCCTGTGCCTCTTCCGGTCAAAACACAGCACCCAGAGGCTAGCACCCAGACTGACAGAGGCCAGCACCCAAGCCGACAGATCGGCACCCAAGCCTACAGGCCAGCACCCAAGCCGACAGACCAGCGCCAAAGCCGACAGACCAGCACCCAAGCCAGACCAGCACGCAAGCCGGTAGAGACCAGCACCCAAGCTGACAGACCAGCACGCAAGCCGGCAGAGACCAGCACCCAAGCTGACAAACCAGCATGCAAGCCGGCAGAGACCAGCACGCAAGCCGGCAGAGATCAGCACCCAAGTTAACATACCAGCACGCAAGCCGGCAGAGACCAGCACCCAAGCCGGCAGAGATCAGCCCCTAAGCCGACAGCGAGCGGAACGTCAGTGCCTCACAGTTATTGTCGAATGGTCCTGGCATGCCGGAATGGGCGTTGCATGACCTACAGCAGTCGATGCGCCCTAAAACCCCAAATCATCACCATCATCATCACCTGGCATGCCGGCTGCGGCCCGCGGTTTTGGCCACCACCTGGCGGCCGCCCTCTCAAACAGCAGGGCCTCCACGTGCCCCGGCCGGGGCAGTGCTGACACCAGACCCACGTGTTTATAATGCAATACGTTTTCATCTTAACTTGTGCGCGGTACGTTTGATGGGCACAATGTTTACTCACGTGAACGAATGCCCTTCAAGCACGGGTGTTGCAGACTTCCTGTTAGGCTGTTCACCGGGCTAACTTTGTTCAACAGGTTGGCTGCCTGATGTGAGGACTGTGACGTTCCTAATCTGATGATGCCTTTATGTTTCCGCGCCGTGTAACTTGCTTAATAAGCCCAGCGGGTTTTTCATTCAGCTGGTTTCCGGCGGCTTTTTGTGACACTGCGTAGAATGATGTCACGGTGGCGCCTGCGCTTGGAAGGATCGGCCGGCCCAGCAGGTGTTCCGGTTCGCACGCAGTAGGACGAGTTAGAGTCGTGGTTCCAGGCGGGATCCAACGGCTGTGGGATCACGTGTACCGGGCAGACCTTGCATCGATTTTGCTGCTGGTCTTCCGCGGTAATGGGCATAAGCGCTATAAGAATGAATGATGGGTTTTAGCCGTCTTCCATCGGGCCAGATTACAGCCAAGACTTTGCAATAGCACCCCAGCGTAAGAACAAAAGCAAAAACATGCCACAAGAAATGTGCTGAATGCGTTAGGAGCGCGGGCCGCAGCTCGCCTCAGTTTTCATAAAAAGACGCCATTTTTTGGCGTGAATCGTATGTAACAGGAAATTATAGTTGTGCCACGTCGCACCTACGATACTTGGGTATTGTATGTTCGATGAGAATAGTCCAGTTTGTCGATAATTGTTCGATCACTTGCGAGATCCATAGACGAAAATGCAGTGTTGTGTCACTAAACGTGTTCGGTTTTGTAAGCTTATTTTTGTGCGTGAACCTATAATTTTGTCATCCGAAGGCAAACGAAGAATGGAATATTTTAGTTGCGGGGATACAATGACGGTTTTTTATTCATTCTCTTTCGTTTTCTTAATCGTTGTCTCGCTATACATTTTACTATTCCACCAGACGTGCCACCAACAAGTATAGCACGTGCCGAACAGATGATTGGGTGATGAACTCCTGAAGTGGTGCATAAAGCTGGCCGAAATAGTAGTTATCTTTTTTGTTTGTTCTCCTTTCTAGCAAATTGTGTGTTCCTTTGTGTTACCGCGGCGCGAACAACGCCACAAATCTGCCGTCCTTTAGCACCGAGACGTTCGTGCCGTAGCCGGGCCCGGCCCGTGATCTCAGTGGGAGCACAGAGCTCGGGGGCATGGCCGTCCCCGCCTGTGACGAGCGGCCGGAGCCGCTGTCCGGCTGGCTGGCGGCGGCCGCCGGCCGGCCGGCGCTGTTCCACTCGGCCGCCGCGCTGCTCGAGGGCCTGCTGCGGCTGCTGGTCGGTGCGCCGCTGGAGCTGCTGCGCGCCGCGCTGCCCGGCCCCAGCGCCAGACCGCGCCGGTGCCGGGCGACCCACTACCGCTGCGGCCCGCGACGCGGCCGGGCGCGCGCCCGCCGCCGCCACCTGGCAGCGCCCGCTGCCTGCCACCTGGTGGCGTACGTCACCAACGTTACCAACGTGGTGCGCGCCGACGCGACGCGGCGGCGTGAGTGCGGTGCGCTCTGCGGAGAGGCGCCGGCTGTCCATCGCGCGACGCGGCAGGGCCGTGTCGGGCGCCGTCCGCTCGTGTGGGACATTAGGCTGGCCGTTCACTTCGCCTTGTGACTGAGTGTTTCCATCTCTCGCCGGCGCCGCTTCCGCGCTCTCCTGTCAGCGCCGTGGCCAGCGCTGTGTGGATCAGGCCGCCCACGCTGGCCGCTTGGCCGTGACGGGCACGCCTCTGCCGCCAGGTCCGCCGCCGTGCGCGCGTTCTCACCATTCCATTCGGCCGCTGGCGCGCGCCTTCTCCTCGCCCCTGGTGACGCTGAACCCGAGCGCCGCCAGCGCCTCCCGCGACCCGCACATCACCTACGTCAGCAAACAGGTATGCCTCGTGCAGCGCAGTGCTGCCGCGCCGCCAGCTGTGGTGCGGCACGCACATGATGCTTCGGTGTTGTCGATCGTGCTACTATTTTTTTTATTCAGATGCATTTCATCTAACTGGGTTTAGGGTAAGACAAATCTTGCACTGCACGTAGGATAGTGCGGGAGGTACAAATTTTACGTGGGTCTGTTATGGTGAGTGAGAGTCACCGCGTTTTATGCGACAAAACTTAGATTGAGGCTCCTCGGATATTTTGTATTTCCATGGCAGCTTTCGCGGTGCTCCAGTTTTGGCAGCGTTATGTTCTCGTAACCTGCAAGGTCACCTTCTGATCCATCTGGTATGGTACCCAATAATGTGGTGTTGGCCCTTGTGAGGAGGTGTAGGGGCTGTGTCGTCTCGGTGCCGACCTGTGTGCTATCTGTGACACGAAGCCCGTCCGTCCTGACCCCATGATGCCTTGCTGGCGCTTGCTGAGAACAGACGGCCGACCCCGGCAGATGGCCGCGCCGGCCCCCATCGGGCCGCGTCCGGTGTCCGCTGCTCCTCTAGGTCTGCGGCGTCTGACGGTGCCGTTTGCTGCCGGCAGGGCTGCGGCACCGGCCTGGTCTACGACCCGCTCATGCTGAAGCACCAGTGCGTGTGCGGCGACAGCTCCAACCACCCGGAGCACAGCGCGCGCCTGCAGTTCATCTGGAGTCGGCTGCAGGAGACGGGCCTCACGCAGCGCTGCGACCGCATCCGCTCGCGCAAGGCCACGCTGGAGGAGATCCAGACCTGCCACAGCGAGGCGCACACCATCTTCTTCGGTACGGACCGGCTGCCCGACCGTCTGCGCCAGAGGCCGCCGGCGAAATGGTGTAGTGTGGAGCGGAGACAGAGCTACGTCCACTGGACCACGGCGTCTGCTTGCTCGCCGGTGAACCGTTGCCAGCTGATAATTACTAACAAATTGTGATGCAGGTGTTCAACAATGATTTTTAGGAAGTAATAGCCTACCGTGTACTTTTCGTGGCAAAGCTTACGTAAGCGTGAATGTCAATTGCAGTACGGCGCTCAAGTTAGCAATCTAAGCCCCCTGGACAATATCATTTTCGTGAGATTCTCCTTCTACTCCCAACATTTGTTCGCGGTGGGAGCTTCTGAGAATATGGTCTCAAATGTTCTTTATCGACCCGTGCCGCGCACGCTATTTTAAAACAGCGTTCCATCTGCTGAAATCCCACATAACCTGCACGCAAAGTGAACCGCGGCTGGGAGAAACAACGCTTCCGAAGCGTGACCCGTACCGCGCCCGCGCGCCCGCCAGGCACGAACCCGCTGAACCGGCAGAAGCTGGACCTGGGCAAGCTGGGCGAGCTGCCGATCCGCTCGTTCGTCAAGATGCCGTGCGGCGGCATCGGCGTCGACCTGGACACCACCTGGAACGAGCTGCACACGAGCAGCGCGGCGTGCATGGCCGCCGGCTGCGTCAGCGAGCTGGCGTTCAAGGGTCAGTGCCCTGTGACCCGGCGAGACGAGGCCGCGGCCCCGGCGGCGCCGTCTCGCCGACGGTCCCCGGTCGCCAGCGGCGTTTGCTGAGCGGCGCCCGCCGTCGCTGCCTCAGCCGTGCTGGTGTCAGCCGGGGAAGGCGCAGCAGCGGCCTTGCTGTCGTCGCCTGTGTGAACGTTTCTTGTGTGCAGTTCGTCCCAGCTGAGTCACAGGGCTGGGCTCGGTCGTATTGTTTGGCAGCTGAATGCGGAGCTCATTATGTTCGGACACAAAACGGGCAATAGGCGAGTGGACGTATAGAAACAGGAAGGGCCGTATGGAAGACGTTCTCTTCTGTCGGCTCGTTCTCTGCCACACGCTGCAGACGTCATCATCCGACACAGGCGGATGCGGCAGACATTCATTATTTTTTACCAAAACCACAGAGCTATATAGGCCGGCATCACCTAGGACCAAAGGTTATGCCGGCGTGGCGCTGAGCAGCCATAACGGCTGACGCAGTCCAGCATGGGGTGGTACATACGACCCGTCTATTGTCGCGCGATGCTGTGTGTTATAGTTTTGTGCCTCATCCTCCGCACTATTAGCCTCCGCTCTCTATGACATTCCCAAGGCGTGGAGTGTGTCTGCGGAACGCGAGCTTCACACTAAACAGACTCTGCTCCATGACTGGGGAGCGGGCTGATCGGAGCGTGTCTGCGGAGCGCGAGCCTCACACTAGATAGGCTCTGCTCCATGACTGGGGAGCGGGCCGATCGGATGTGTCTGCGGAGCGCGAGCCTCATGCTAGGCAGGCTCCGCTCCATGACTGGGGAGCGGGCCGATCGGAGTGTGTCTGCGGAGCGCGAGCCTCATGCTAGACAGGCTCCGCTCCATGACTGGGGAGCGGGCCTATCGGAGTGTGTCTGCGGAGCGCGAGCCTCACACTAGACAGGCTCCGCTCCATGACTGGGGAGCGGGCCGATCGGAGTGAGGGTGCTCTGCTCGCCGCTGAGGATGTGCGTGGTCGGGAGCGGTGCCCTGACGTGACCGCTTGTGCGCCGCCAGTGGCGACCGGCGCCGTGAAGAACGGCCTGGCCCTGGTGCGACCGCCGGGCCACCACGCCGAGCGCCAGCAGGCCATGGGCTTCTGCTTCTTCAACTCGGTGGCCATCGCCGCCCGGCTGCTGCGTCTGCGGCTCAGCGTCGAGAAGATCATGATCGTCGACTGGGACGTGCACCACGGCAACGGCACGCAGCAGCTCTTCTACGACAGCTCGCACGTGCTCTACCTCTCGCTGCACCGCCACGACGACGGCAACTTTTTCCCGGGCACCGGCGCTCCTGTAGAGGTGAGCCCGCCGCCGCGCCGGCCGCTGCCCGCACGGGGTCGGCACTCGGCTCGCCGACACGGCTGACGGCCGGCCGGCCGGCTGACCGGTGCCGCGCCGTGGCTGGTGCCCCCTGTGGCCCGCTGGGTTGCCAGGAGGTGTGCCGGGTGTTGGCCAGCGTAGATAGAGGGCTCGTCATCCCGGTGCTTGCCCGCCGGAGCGGCCACGCGCCGTGTCGTCTCGAGCCGGCAGCCAGCGCTCGTGGCCGTCGTGTGTGGTGTCGCCGCGGTCCGTCACCTGACCCTGCGCTGGCCGCGGCCTGACCGTGCCCCCGTTGTGACCTGGCCACGCCCCGGCCGTGACCTGGCAGTGCCTCCGCCTCGACCTGGCAGTGCCTCGCCGTGACCTGACCGTGCCCCGCCGTGACCTGACAGTACTCTTGTGTCGGACAGTGTGGCGTCGAGGACGGCATGGGCTTCAACGTGAACGTGGCCTGGTCGGGCGGCTGCAACCCGCCCATGGGCGACGCCGAGTACCTGGCCGCTTTCCGCACCGTTGTGATGCCCATCGCCAGGGTGAGTACGCCACCACGCCGCCCGGTGGCCCTCCTGAGAATGTGGTCGGATGGCCGCCGCTAGGCAACGGCGTCGCCGCCGAGTCCACGTCCAGCGGTGGACTCCCCTTGCCGTGAGATAGCGACGCGCCGTCCCCTCGGCCTGGCTGTGGTGGTCGCCGTCGCTGTCGGCCTGTGCGGACGCGCCGCCGCCGTGCGCCGGTCGGCGGCGGTGCAGCCGGCCCGCCGCGCTGCTCTGGCCGGTGCCGCGTCGCTGCCACCGCCAGTACCGGGCCGCCGCGCTGCTCCGTCTGGTGCCGCGTCGCTGCCGCCGCCAGTACACAGTACTCAGGGCCGCGTCCTCTGCCGCAGGACTTCCAGCCGGACCTGCTGCTCGTGTCGAGCGGGTTTGACGCGGCGCGCGGGCACCCCTCGCCGCTCGGCGGCTACCAGGTGTCGGCCGCCTGCTTCGCCTGGATGACACGCCAGCTGATGACGCTGGCCAACGGCAAGGTCAGCAGGGGACGGGGGTGACCGGCCCGCCCCGCCGCGCCCCGCCCCGCCCCGCCCCGCCTGGCGCCATGTAGAATGTCAGGGAGGTTCCCTGGACATCTCGTTGATATGCAGATTGGATGACAAAGTTGTTGGGATAGGGGTAGATAAATCGGTCAGTAGGATAAGGATGTTAGCCATGTCTCAGCCGTTGAACATTGTCTGTTGACGGAAAAGCGTTGCATACTTGGGAAATGTGCAGTGTTGTTACCACGGCAAGACGTGTGCTGGGAAGGCTGGAGACTTCGAGCATTAAGTTCGGAAGAACCTAACTGTGGAGATGTGGGAATCAATTGGACAACAGTGCACCGCCCTCCTGAGTTTATTAGGCCGCCGCGGCACGACCAGCCTGCTTAGATTATAGTCGTGCCGTTATAACCTGCTATAACCCGTTGACCCGCTCATGAGTGTGCGGCTGTCGGGTAGATAGCGTTGGACTGGGGCTGGCATTCGGCTGCCAGACAACTCCGTGTTTGCCAGGTGGCGCTGGAGATTGAGAGCTTGTGGCTCTGTGTTAGCCAGGTGGCGCTGGAGCTGGAGGACTTACGGCTCAGTATTGGCCAGATGGCGCTGGCGTTGGAGGCCTGACGGCTCTGTTGGCCAGGTGGCGCTGGAGCTGGACGGCTGATGGGTCTGTGTTTGCCAGGTGGCGCTGGCGCTGGAGGGCGGGTACGAGATCAGCGCCATCTGTGACGCCACGGAGCAGACGATGCGCGCCCTCCTCTCTGATGAGGTGCAGCCCATCAGCGACGAGGAGCTCAGCAGAAAGCCGTGCCAGGCGGCCATCGCCACACTCCAGAAGACCATCGCCATACAGGTGAGCGAGCGCGGTCGCTTCCCGCCGCCTCCCCTCCCTCCCCATCCCCATCCCTGGGCGCCAGGGTCATCCAGACATCCATTCCTCAGTCCTAGGGTCTTCTGGGTAGTTTGGCGGGCGTGGCCGCTTCCCGCCGCCCTTTCCTCCTTCCCTGCCCAACCTCATCCCTCGACGCGGGGCTCATCCTTAGCCGCGCAGTGACTGGCCGTGTTTCCCGACTTGTCGTTGACATCACTATTCTGGTACCACCACCAGTCTCGCGCCTTCCATACATCTTCAGCCGTCATATCTGCCGCGGCTCGGACGCTGTGCGCTCGGCTCGGCGCCTTCTCGCCGTCTGCGATGCCGGGCTGTGCATGCGGCCGTGCGCGTGGGTCGGCGCCGGCGCTGACCGTGTGAGCTGACCTGCTGCCGGCGTGTCCAGGTGCCGCACTGGCCGTGCGTGAAGCGGACGGCTCACCTGGTGGCGCTCTCGCACGCCGAGGCGCTCAACGACCGCGACGCCGAGACGCTGTCGGCCATGGCCGGTCTGTCCGTCCACCACCAGCACCAGCACCAGCAGCAGCACCCGCAGCATCAGCAGCAGGCGGACGAGGCGGCCGTCGCCGGACAGCCGCCGCCCTGCAGGTTCGCCGCCCGCCGCGCCTCGTCTGCCAGTCGGGGGTTACGGCGGGCCAGCTGCGGACGCTGTGTAGCGTCGCCTGCCGCTCACCCTGGCAGGAAGGGCGGGCACCCCAAGAAATGGGACCCCGTGCCTCTGCTGACCCAGACGTGTGGTGGTTAACTCGGACGCGTTCACTGCTTCACTATCGGCACCTCGCCGTCGTCCCATGCTCTGATGCCTGTTCAGACGCCCTTGGTGTCCCCCGCAAGGTGCACGTGTTGGTATCTGTCTCCGGACCGTGGCACGGTCGTCCGCGCTGGCTCGAGCTCTGCGTCACTGGCCGAGGCGATGACCGACTCCGTGTGTGCCTGTCCCCAGGTCATCCCCGGCCCGTCCCGTCTCGCCCACACAGGAGGAGCCCATGGACCAGGACGAGGCGGAGGCCAAGTAAGCCCGGTCCGGACACCTGGCGGCAAGCGGTACAACTGGAACATTGTTTTGTGGTCGGTGCGCGGCGCTCCACGGTACCTGTGCCCTGTCTGTTGGAGCGCGTGTGTCGACGCGCCGGAGTGTGTGTAAGTGCGCGAGCGCGCGCGCGCGCCGCGCGATGCTGGTGAGGGCGGCGTCGGGGTCGTCCAAATTGGCCGTGATAGCGGGCTAGCGCGCGCCGAGTGCGGGTGGGCACAGGTGGCTGTCGCGCTGTGCAATGTTCAACAGAGGCCGCGGCCGCGGGCGCCGGCCGGCCGCACGCTGCCACGGCCGTGCGCGGCTGGCGCTCGCAAAATTGCGGCGCGGTGTTTTGAGATGAACTATTTTACGGTATGCATGTGGCTTCATTATTTGTATACATTCCACGTAGATGTACGTTCTAGTCAGCCGGCGGTGTCACGAGCCCCGGCTACAGACGGCGCCGCGCGCGCGCCCGCGAGCTGCGCCGACCGCCCGTCGCCACGTTATCTGTAGTTTGTTGGAACTCTTCTGATATTTGTTGTGGATGATTAATGTTTAGCTGTGCGTTTTCCGTTGGCCGCGCGCGCCGCCGGGCGGCACTGGCCGCCGAGTCGGTGCGTGTATTGGCGGAGCGCTGGCGCACGGACCGCGAGGGCGGCTGCTCCCCTGGCTCATCTCCAGCTGCCGGCCCCGGCCCCGACGCCTGGTCCGGCCCGGTCCGGTCTGGTCCGGTCTGGTCTGGTCTGGTCTGGTCTCCATATCTGTCCGTCCGCCCGTCAGCACTCACGGCTGTCATGGTCTGCATCTCGTGTGCATCTCCTGTGCGCACTCTTCCTTGTCCCTTGTTTATGGATCAGTTATGTTGCCTCGTATTTCTCCTGCTTTCCTGGCCGTCGTCCCCTGGTTCTTATTCACTTCCTTTGTTTATGATCTGTGTCCCCTTCATCTCCTCACACCTCTTCCTGTCCTGTTCTGTCCTGTTCTGGCCCGTCCTGTTCTGTCCTGTTCTGTCCTGACCCGTCCTGTTCTGACCCGTCCTGCCGTGTCCTGCCTCACACCTGGCCGGGTGGCCGAGCGCGGCCGCCGCCTCCGGTCCGGTCCCGGCAGCCGCACAGCTCCGGGTGCCGCCCGCCGCCCGCCCGCCGCCCACACGACACCGGGCCCGCACCCGACGGCCGAAGCTTATTTTTGTATGCACGGCCCACTCGCAGTGTCTGAGGTGTTGTGATCAATACACATGGACTGCTTATAGTACCGGCTTTGGTGGGGCGGTCGCTGAGTCGGGGCGGTGCTGCGGCAAGCGCCGGCTGCGGTCAGGCCTTCTCCCGCGTGGCCGCCCCTCGGTATGGAGGGCTCCCTCGCTGCCGTGTGAAGTTAGGCAAAACGATGCACGTGACAGCGTTGCTATTGTTCGAGTGCATTTATTTATTGACAGTCCCGGAACGGGTCCGAGTTACCCAGCTGCCATTCAGTTTTGCATAACGCTCCAGAGCAATGGTGGAACGGGAAGTTATCGAATGACGGGTAATGCAGGGATGAATAGGCTGCATTTGATCCGCATTCATCCCTGGGAGTGGGCATGCCTTACAGCATGCAAACCTGCCTTCAGTGTGAATGGTAAGCTGTAGGTGATATATAGGTTTCGAGTTGTATTTTGTGAGGGCTCTGCCCCCCCCCCCCCCCCTCCCCCAATGTTTCACATGCGCCCGAGTGGCCGGCTGAATACCCTACGCGAGGGTGAGCGGGGTCCATTTGACATCTCCTGAGGTCTCGAAATCTAAGATAGGTGGAGATACCGAATTCACAGGCTGGATTAACCTGAACGTGATTCCCAGTTATCCTAATTTGGGTTCCTAGATCACCACCATGGGGTCAGATAAGGTCAAACAAGGTCAACCTCCGGATTGGTGTATCATGTGCCCTCAGACCTCCTCACGCAACTGCCATGAAGCTGTTTTAAGCAAAATGTCACGAATCCCAGTGACCTTGTTTGACCTTAATAAGGCTCGAGTAACAGCATTTCTACGAGATTGCTCCTGAAGTGCCATTCAAATGAGCGTCAGGGGTTACGTTAGGCGGTTTGGTCCTAGAAACGAAGTGTTGACACAGATCATTTGAGGTCAACAGTTTACGCTAACCTTAACACGTGCCCGGGTAACCGGCTGGATACCCCTCGCTCGGGTGGGGGGTCAACTGGACCTCCCCCCTGAGATCTCGGGAACTAAGAAAGCTAGAGATACCAAATTTGCAGCGTGCATTGACCTGTATGTGAACTCACTTGGGTCAAAGTTTGAGGTTCCCAAGTCGTGATCTTCGGGTCACTTAAGGTCAAACAAGGTCAAATTCCAGGTTGGTCTCCAAAGTGCCTCCGGAACTTAGATAACTGCTTCTAAGCAAAATGTGGCATACTCATGGAAGGTCAGTGACCTTGTTTGACCTTTTCGAGATCATGCTGACCAAAATCGTACAAGACCGCTCTGAGTTTTGCACTTGAATAAGCGAGAATGATTGCGCAGGGCAGTATGTTCCCCAAAACAAAATATTAACCTGGGTCATTCCAGGTCAATGACCTATTCTGACCTCGAAAGAGTCCATGGCAGACTATGATGCGGTTCCTGCTGTCAATAAATTCGAGATGGGCACCAGAAACTATCCCATACAGCAAGACCTAGAGTAATAAAACAGATTGGTTTTGCCGTTGGTCTGACGTTCATACTTGACCTTTGGTCAACGTGATTTGTTCATTCAATATCTGTGTTGTCTAAGAAAGCCTCCCAGAGATGTGTGGTGTCGCCTGACGCTCCGTTGTTGCATCAGATTGAACGATTCACTAGAGATTGACTTCGCTGAAACCGTAGCCTGACTTTGACCTGCCATGGGTCAGCGACCTTAGAAGATACATCTAGATTTTTGGTACCAAACGATTCGCTATCCAACTGTCGACAGCTGACAGCTATGCAAAATTGGGCGCGGCTACGCTACGCCGTTCGGAAACGGTCCTGGAAAAACCTTTGGGGGAGTCAATTTGACCCCCGCCGAGTGCGTGTTAAAAAGTCCATGGAACGTGTCTGTTGCGTTCCCTTTCACTAATAAATTTTAAATGCGTGCTAGGAACTACCATGAGAAACCAAGCCCTGGAGTAAAAAAAGAAGATAATTTTGACCTCGTTCTCACCTTCATACCTAACCCTAGGTCAATGGAAGTGGCTGTAATTTTAAATTTAATTGGTTTAGTGCCTAAGAAACTATCTCGGATATGCATGGCTTCGTCAAACATTCCGCTGTTGTATTACATTGAACGATTCCTTAAAATTGCGCTTCACTGCCAGCCGCGGCCTGATTTTGGCCTGGCACAGTGAGCGACTTTACAGTGTACAACTAATTTTTACATCAAAACATTTTCTATTCAATTATCTACACATATGCAAAGTGTAGCGCCGCTACGCCGCGCCGTTCGGAAATGATTCTGGAAAAACCTTTGCAGGGGGGGGGGGGGCAATTTAACACCCGCTCATCCGAGCGCGTGTGAAATGAGTGCGCTCTGTGTTAGCTTGGCTCATCTGCAATATTTTAGCGTGAATATTTCGAAAGTTAAGCAACAGGCTCATGAACACACCAAGGCTCTCTTTTTTGGTCCTTCGTAGTGGCGTGGCCATGGGGGTGCAGCAGGGTAGCTTGACCCTACAACCTCAAAATTATTTCTTTAAATGGGTGGTAACGTGAGACAACGGTCGTAAACTATGTTAAATTTTACTTTTTGTTGTGTCCGTCAATCGTAATCCAAGACGCCTTTCCCCTGGAACCTTACCGTGATATTGACCTGGTCTTGTGACACATTTACGGCAAGCCACACTTGGCATTCTATGGTGGGCCACGAACCTCATGTTGTTTTACTAGAAGTTGAGGCCCGCATTGTTTTGATGGAATATCTTGTGAGAAAACCAAATCGGGTGGCATTGCGTTTTTGGCGCAGTATCGTTAGTTGAGATTATATTTTCAGTACGCCCAAAACATGAAAAACAATACGGAAAATGAAAATTTTGCTGAGACAGATTTTTAATCTGGTTTCGTGCTGGACAAATTTATTACCAGCACTCCGAACTACAATACCATGTTGGCAATGCCTGATCAAAGGATCCATTTTGCCTTAGTCGCAGGTCATGTGGCACCTCCACCGTGCCATGCGACTGCACGACCACCGGCCGACACTGTCAGGCCAACGGCTGAATGGCCCTCTTTGGCGATCCTTATACAAACACTTATTCGGGACGGTCAACCTATTAGCACGCCATTCGCCACACCACGAATGTGGTCAGTGTAACTTCAGCGCTCTACTCGAGTCGGGCCTCTACAGCAACGATTGGTGTGTTCGCGCGGCAATCAACTTTTTTGTGAGCGTTTTATACACCGCAGCCATCGGGTTGGGAGGAAGGCAGTGTCTGTAAACCGCACCTTCGCTATGCATTTTTGTTTAAAGGTATCACCTGTAACCTGGAAAGCAGTCACGCGTAGAAACTCGGCTAAATGCAGGATATCATCAATTAGAACAGTGCCATTTATCCCTTAAACTTTACCCTAATGTTGCCCCGAAAGGGATGACTCATCTGAAGTCCTATGGCCAATGTGCTTTTGGATTGTGCAGGTGCGTTCTTTTACGATTGCAGAGAATTCAACGATCCTCGATGAAATCAAACTTTCGGATTGCAAGGGATCGCGACGCTGTGTGCGACGACGAATGATGCTATTTGAAATGCACGACACTACGCATTTAAGTCCAACTTTTTCTGTGCGCTGGTCATTTGCCGCTTTATCATGTTGACGAAGAACCAGACCACATGGAATTCAGATGACTTACATAATATGTCATAGATCCATTCAACGGAAACCTGCTCGCACCTCAGGCGCAAAACGACAATTTTATTACAAGCATGCATGTGGCGGTCCCACGAGAAAAAACTTAGGCATTTCTACAGCACGCAGCAGTTGCAACGTGTTCCCTTCCGTTGTTGGTGAGGTCGGAAAGTCTTTTGTCATAGATATTGGGCTAAGCTCGCTGAATTGTGTACACTGGTGATCTGTGGCTCGGAGAAGCTGTCTAGGTTAACACGCGCCCGGGTGGCCGGCTAGATACCCTTCGCTCGAGTGGGGGGTCAATTTGACCCCACTGAGATCTCGGGAACTAAGAAAGCCAGAAATACCAAATTTACAAGATGTGATATTTACGTGAACTCACTTAAATCAAAGTTTCAGGTTCCTAGGTTATGACCTTCGGGTCACAAAAGGTCAGACAAGGTCAAGTTCCAGGTTGGTCTCCAAAGTGCCCCCAGGGCCTAGATAGCCGTCTCTAAGGAAAAGGTCACATGCTCATTCAAGGTCAGTGACCTTGTTTGACCTTTCGAAGGTCAAGGTGCCCAAAATAATGCCAGATTGCTTTGAGTTTTGCATTTGACTAAGAGACAAAGATTACGCTAGGCAGTATGTTCCTAAAGCAAAATGTCGACCTGGGTAATTTTAGGTCAATGACCTATTCCGACCTCTAAGAAGTCCGTGGAAGATGTATAATGCGGTTCCTGCTATCAATAAATTCGAAATGAACACCAGAAACTATCCCATACAGCAAGCCCTAGAGTAACAAAGCATGTTAGTTTTGACCTTAGTGTGACCTTTATACCTGACCTTAGGTCAATTTACATTGCTCATTCAACTGTTGTGTTACCTAAGAAAGCATTTCAGAGATGTATGGATTCTTCTAGCACTCCGTTGTTAGATCAGATTAAACGATTCCTGAGAAATTGCGTGACTTTGAGCTGCCATAGGTCAGTGACCTTACAAGGTACACCTAAATGTTTGACGACAAACGATCCACTATTCAATTGTCTACAGCTATGCAAAATTTGGCGCGGCTACACCGCCGTTCGGAAACCATTCCGGAAAACCTTCAGAGGGGTCAATTTGACTCCTACCCGAGCGCGTGTTAAAGATGGTGCTTTGAAGTCTGAGATTATTTCCGCCACCAACCTCAGTTTGACCTTCTCTGACTTCATTTGACACGAAAATCACCAATTAGGACCTCAAACATTGTCACAAATGAGCTCGCATAGAGCCCAACATTTCTGTGAATTTTACGCATTTAGCTCGCTTATTTTTTCAGATCTCGAGGTCAAATAGCCCCCATCACCACCACCACCCGAGCGTGTGGCATTCAACCGGCCACCCGACCGCGTGTTAAGGCTTTATGGCACTCGATAACAT